CGATAATGAGGGGAACGTATTCTATTTCTTAACAGTGGCCTGGACAATGTACTGTGGGAGCAGAGGAGAGGGAACTACTCAATCAGCTCTGGCTGGAGGTGAGGCACGAGTCACAGAGGAGGGGAGGCTAAACAATGTCTCCAGGGATGGAGAGCACGCTGTTGCTGCCTTGGGTGTGGGAAGGCAGGGCACAAGCTGTGTGCAGTCTGGCAAATCGTCCTGTGTGGCTGCAGCAGACAAGCAGGGGTGCTGGAAGCTCAAGCTGTGGATGGACAGGGCCTGCGGGAGGGAGAGCCTCCAGAAAGCAGGTGCACAAGACCAAGAACAGAGCCCCAGTAAGTTGGCTGCTGCAGAGTGACCACGGTTCTTTCTAACCTATCCACTCAGAGGATACACACGATCCGACTGTCAATGGTTGTTCTGAGACTCATACCTGGGACTCACTGCCCTCCCAACGCCCACGTGCTAGTCTATCCCTGAGAATGAGTAGTCCTTGCCTGGCCTCTCTGCGAGCCTAAGAGGCAGAGCACCACCCCGGGCCACTGGTGTGGCCTGGACAGGCATGTACTCACCCTGGCCTTCTGCTTCTCAGCCTGCAGCTGTGCATCGATCTCCTCAGGGCTCGTATACTGCCTCGCCCGGCCTTTATGGCCTCCCTTTCTCCCTGCAGAGACCAGCAGTTTAGAAGATGAGGGGAAGGTAGCTGCCTTGACTGCTCTGACCCCCAGAGGGCTGTGTCCTGCTTGAAATGCTCTTATCAGAGGCCTCAGAGACCTCATCTACCCCTCACTCGGCACCACCCAAACCCGACACCTCCTCCACCCTCACGTGTTCAGAGGCACACAGGAAGCAACTCATGACCATATGATGCATCACCGAACTGTGTACTAAATGAAGGCTGCTGCACAGAAGACTGGTGGGGAGGACATAGTGGACGGTACACGGCAGTGACTAGCTACATCCCCTAGTCCCTTAGAATCTAAACACAGCGGACTCGGATGCAACCACAGAAACAGGTACCACTTACACCCCTGCTGTCATTATAAGGGCTTTTTATGCAATGTTATGTGACAGCCAGGGGCACATTTGATCCTCAGAACAAACCTATGGTACAGGAGTGATTGCTGGTCCCATTTCATAGACCAGGAGACTTAGACCAAAGCAGAGTGCTGACCTCCACAACATTTAGAGTCCAACTCCCAGGTTCTACCCTTACTGGCTTGGTGACTATGGGCAGGTATTTAACCTCTCAGTCTCAGTTTCATCTCATCTGTGTCCCTACCTCACAGGGTTGTCACAAAGATAATTAGTCAATATACAGAAAGTGGCTGGAATAGTGCCTGGTATTGAATAAGTACTACAAAAATGTTCACTAATGGCTGGGCACAGTGACTCACGCCTGTAATCCCAGCACTTTGGGAGGCTGAGATCAGGCAGATCACTTGAGGTCAGGAGTTCAAGACCAGCCTGATCAACACAGTGAAACCCCATCTCTACTAAAAATACAAAAATTAGCTGGGCATGGTGGCACATGCCTGGAATCCCAGCTACTGGGGAGGCTGAGACAGGAGAACTGCTTGAATCCAGGAGGCAGAGGTTGCAGTGAGCCAAGATGACACCACTATACTCCAGCCTGGACCATTGAGTGAGACTCTGTCTCAAAACAATACAAAAAAACCCCTGATTTCCAAAGTCTGTTTCTGTAAGCAGAGAATCTACAATCATCCAGACTTACTTTTCCTTCTAATCTAGTATTTGGTGGTGGGGGGGTGGAACCCACCACTGAGCACATAAGCAATTTACTGCAGCTATCAGAAATACACAAAAATACTTCGTGTTCATCTTAGTAGTATGGCAAAACGAATACTTAAGGGAAAAAAAATACCCATAGGCAAAAACTTTATGCTTAGACTAAAAAATGACTGACAAAGTACAGTTGAAAACAAACCTAACTACATAGTCTAAAAAGTAAAAATGTGACTAGCAATTAAAGTATCAGTTTTATAGTCTGACCCTCTTCAGACGGGACACTAGACTGACCCTTGCTAAAGCCATCAGCCAGTTTTAGAGCAGGGTGGCACTCCCCTCTGCTGGTACCCAAGTATCCAGAGATGGCTATGGCCCCACCTCCACACGGTATCTCTCCGGGAAGGTGAGGCCCACCTGATTTCCAGAGTCTGTCTCTGTGAACAGAGAGTCTGTAATCAGTCAGAGTTGATTTGCACTCCAGAGGCAGTAGCAGAGATACTGGCCTCCTCTGATTTCTTACAGCAGCTGCAGAGCCGTAATTGGGCTGCTACAGACCACAACACCCATTTTTAATGACTACCTAGGTTCCCAGGGATGTCTAAGTCTATACTTATTAAAGTCCATTGCGAGAGAGCAAGTGTGCCATGAAAAAATCCAATACCTTTTCTTGCTCTCTTAATACATCAGGCAACAGTAACAACTCAAAGTTGGTTGCCATAGGCTCTCCTCTCATATACTTGGCTTATGGGACCCTGACCTTAGCTTGGTCCACAATAACTTTTTTTTTTTTTTTTTTTTTTGAGACGGAGTTTCGCTCTTGTTGCCCAGGCTGGAGTGCAATGGCACGATCTCGGCTCACCGCAACCTCCGCCTCCTGGGTTCAGGCAATTCTCCTGCATCAGCCTCCTGAGTAGCTGGGATTACAGGCACCCGCCACCATGCCCAGCTAATTTTTAGTATTTTTAGTAGAGACGGGGTTTCACCATGTTGACCAGGATGGTCTCGATCTCTTGACCTCGTGATCCACCCACCTCAGCCTCCCAAAGTGCTGGGATTACAGGCTTGAGCCACCGCGCCCGGCCCACAGTAACTTTTATAATAGGCTCTTCAAGACTTGAAAAAATGCTTTGTAGTTAACCTGATGGAAATCAGAGTTAGTCACTTGCTCTTGGGTTTGATACTTTTAACACCTTCATGTTTTTCTGTGGTTTTCAAATTAACCCAAGAACACATAAACCTTTTCTGCCCAAAAAAACTTTTCACAAGCCCAAAGACCATTTAACTATGAATTCATACATAAGGTTTTCTTTTCTTCCTTTTTCTTTTTTTTTTTAGACGGAGTTTCGCTCTTGTTACCCAGGCTGGAGTGCAATGGCGCGATCTCGGCTCACCGCAACCTCCGCCTCCTGGGTTCAGGCAATTCTCCTGCCTCAGCCTCCTGAGTAGCTGGGATTACAGGCACGCGCCACCATGCCCAGCTAATTTTTTGTATTTTTAGTAGAGACGGGGTTTCACCATGTTGACCAGGTTGGTCTCGATCTCTCGACCTCGTGATCCACCCGCCTCGGCCTCCCAAAGTGCTGGGATTACAGGCTTGAGCCACCGCGCCCGGCCTTCTTTTTTCTTTTTTTTTTTTTTTTAAGACGGAGTCTCTCCCCCTTTGCCCAGGCTGGAGTGCAGTGGTGTGATCTTGGTTCACTGCAACCTCTGCCTCCCGGGTTCAAGCAATTCTCCTGCCTCAGTGCCCTGAGTAGCTGGGCCTACAGGTGCCCGCCACAATGACAGGCTAATTTTCGTATTTTTCAATAGAGACAGGATTTCACCGTGTTAGCCAGGATGGTCTTGGTATCCTGACCTCATGATCTGCCTGCATCGGCCTCCCAAAGTGCTAGGATTACAGGCGTGAGCCACCACGCCGGGCCCATATTTAGGCTTTTCTAATTGTAACCTCCAACCTTTGCCCAAAGTAGCCCTTAAGTAAAATTTTGGAAAGAGGATGGCTCATTCAGCAACCTCCTTTTACAGATGAAGGGATCTGGGGAACAATAGCAGAGAGGTTTTTCCAGCCACAGAACAAATCAGTAGAGAGCTAGGTTTAAACACATTTTGTTCTGTAATGCCCAATTATCTCTGGAGTCAGGAAGCTATTTAAGTTTGAAAACGTTCCAGGCAGATGTTTCTGTGGGCCGAGTGCATTAACCAACATAACACAAGAGCTACCAATACAAACATATTTGTTCTGTGCCAGGAGGTACCCAGGCACTGTGAGCGCTATCATTTTACCACCCCATCCCCAATTCACCAAGCTGAGGATTAGGCCGGTGTTTCAGATGAGGAAGAGGTTAACTTGCTCAGGGCCACAGAATTACAGTGATATAACTGGCATTAAAATTGGGGATTATCGATTTTAAAGGGGGAAAGAGGATAGAGGACCGGCTACAATGGACTGGGCAGTCATGGACCTTCCTAGAAGGCCAAGAGCTAGCAAAGCCTTAAAAATAAGAATAGTTAATGCTTACTGGGCACTTTAACGACTGCCTGGCACTGTACTGCGCTGTCCACTTGGATCACGTAGTTGAAGCCTCCCAACAGTACTATGAGGTAGGTACAATCCCCCATTGGCAAATGAGAAAATGGAGACGTGAAGCGACTAGCTCAAACGAACACACCGAGCCGCTACCGAACAGGAGAGTCGAAGCCAGGTCTGCAAGGCTCATGGCATCGCCTTAAGTATCCGTAGGCAGGCCTGGCTGAACCGAAGCCAAAAAGGACCCACGTTTTACGCGAGAGGCAGGCAGGCCCGGTACAAGCGCGGGACGCGGTGACTCAGTCCCCAGCCAGGCTAAAAGTGGGATAAATTCCAGAACCCCTAGGCCCGGAGAAGCGCATCCTGGATCCGGCTTTTCACGCCGGCGAGGACCCAGAGCTTCCGAAACTCCTCAGATCACTAAAGGACTGCCTCTTGGCCACCACAGTCCTCAGTTTCCCCATCGGGACAATTGGGCGTCGAGGCCCAGCCCTGACTCTCAGCCGGTGCGGACAACCTCCCTCTGTGCCGTTCTAGAGACGCCCATGGGCTGAGGGGATAGCGGGAGCCGGACCTACACCGGCCCTCTAGGCCTGCGGGCCACGCGTGCCCGCCCCTCACCTCCTTTAGGCATCGCGACTCCGGCGGCGGCGGCGGCGGCGCCTCGAACTGACACAGGAACCGGAAATACCTTGGGCTCGACTTCTTCCGCCCGGCCCAGTCCCCGCCGCGGCCGCCGCCGCTGTCGCCGCAAGGACCCGGACCTCAGGGAGGCCTCTGCACAGAGCCGGACTGTCTCGCGCCCCGCCTTAGTCCAGACTCGCCCGCGCGCTGCGGGGCAACAGCACCGCCAGTCTCTCCGTTCGGGAAGACGTGTGGCCCTGCTGGCCACCCACCGGAAGTGAGGGTGACTAGCACCAGAAGCTCTGGAATGCTTTACAGGCATTAGTGAGGGCATCTAAGATGACGCAATTCCGCGGGGGGTGGGCGGGGCTTCGCGAGGACCCCATGCCGAAGATGTTGCCTGAGGAGCGGAAGCCATCAATCAAGTAGCGGCGACGCAAGGAGGGGAAGTTTCCGGTAGGTGTTTTTCCTTCGTTCTCGATTACCTTGGCAACAGCTGAGGCAGGAGACAGGTGGTCTGCACCGTCCTGGAGGGCGATCTGAGTGGCTGGACTGGGATCGTTCGGGCTTTGGACCGGAGTGAACTACCGAGAGGAGGCGGCGCCCCGTTCCTTCTTCCGAGGGGATGGTAGATTTGGGGGTTTTCTTCTAGGCTTCTCACGCCTTTTTATCTGGTAGGAACGTCTTCTGTTTTGTTTTTCTAAGCAGGGTTTAGATGCTGTCCTTTTTATGAGCTTTTCCCACAATCCCGCTTTAACACTTCCCTTTGCTCTTCATCGCCTCCTTCCCCGAGCGCCCCAGTCTCTGTTACACTTCCCAGTACATGTTTCTTCGCGATCTGATTACCTCCTACCTTCTCTTTCTCCTCGATCTGGTTACCGCCTACCATTTCCTCCTCCGGGAGGCCTCTTCTGACTCCCAGGCTGTATCAGGGCCCTCGAATTTCTCCTGGGTCATAGAAAAGCAGTTATTCTCTTGTCACAGGCTATGCGCTTTGGGGCTGAGACCAGAATTCACCTGTTTCTAGCTTCAACATAGGGGAGACCAGTGCTAAAACCACAGATTTGGGAGTCAGGAGCCCTCCAGAGTCAGACTTTGCAAATTCTCAACTGTGTGACCCTGATTCTACCTCTTAGAGTTTGATTCCTCATCTGTATAGTTGTTTTAGAGAGTTCTTGCGAGGAGGCTGTGGCGGGGGTGGTCTTTGTAAAGTGTTCGATACCTTACAGAAGGTATCTTCTGTATTGAATTAAAGAGAAATGACTGAGTTAAAGAGAAATGAATCTGTTATGCTGAAAAGTAAATAATTAACCTTAGTTCTCTCTGGCAGCAAGGAAACGCTATGTGGTTAGAAAAACACTTTGCTATTTGAATTTGGAGCGGCCTCTTTTTTTTTTTTTTTTTTTTTTTGAGACGGAGTTTTCGCTCTTGTTACCCAGGCTGGAGTGCAATGGCGCGATCTCGGCTCACCACAACCTCCGCCTCCTGGGCTCAGGCAATTCTCCTGCCTCAGCCTCCTAAGTAGCTGGGATTACAGGCACGCGCCACCACGCCCAGCTAGTTTTTTGTATTTTTAGTAGAGACGGGGTTTCACCATGTTGACCAGGATGGTCTCGATCTCTTGACCTCGTGATCCACCCGCCTCGGCCTCCCAAAGTGCTGGGATTACAGGCTTGAGCCACCGCGCCCGGCCTGGAACGGCCTCTTTTATGGGCATTACCTGACTTGTCTTTATGTAATATGTTGTTTGGTGTGAAAGAGACCTTGGCAATCAGCTAATCCACTGCTCTCATATTACAGATGAAACCAAGGACCAAAGAGGGAAAGTGACCTCAAAGTCAGAATAATTTGTTAGACCTAGACAAGAATCCAAGCCTGCGACTGCAGAGACCAGAGATCTTTCAGCTATACTCTTGGGAAGCACAGCTTAAGGTACTTTGATTTTACAACCATCTTTCCCTTTTTACTTTATTTTTTGTTTTGTTTTGTTTATTATTGAGACACAGTCTCTGTCACTGAGGCTGGAGTATAGTAGTGTGAACATGGCTCACTGCAGCCTCAACCACCAGGGCTCAAGTGATTCTCTTGCCTCAGCGTTCCCTGTAGCTCAGACCACAGGCATCTACCACCATGCTCAGTTTATTGATTTTTTTTTTTAAAGATGGGGTTTCACCATGTTGGTCAGGCTGGTCTTGAACTCCCAACCTCAGGTGATCCGCCCACCTTGGCCTCCAAAGTGCTTGGATTACAGGCGTGAACCACCATGCCTGGCCTTTTTTTTTTTTTTTTTTTTTTTTTTTTGGTAGAGACAGGGTCTCACCACATTGCTCAGGGTGGTCTCAAATTCCTGGACTCAAGTGATCTTCCCACCTTGACCTCTCAAAGTGCTGGCCAAAACCAAAATTATAGGCATGAGCCACTGTGCCTGGCCTTCCATCTTTGCCTTTATAAATACTCACCTCCTGACTCCCGAAGTCACAGCCCTCCTTGTACTCTATTGTAATTACTTTTTTTTCTCTTGTCTGTCTCCTTGCTAAAATGTCACCTTCTAAGGGGCAGAGGCTGTGTCGTAATTGTTCTGTGTTCCCAACATCCAGCATAGGGCCAAGCTTGTAGTTGATGTTAGCTAATGACAGCAACAAATGTCTCTTACACACACATTATACACCACGCATGATAACATACAATTATAATGAAGTCTTCACAATGACCACATAAGGTGGCTTCCATTATCCTCATTTTACAGATATAGAAACAGAGACTTAGGAAGGTTAAGTACCTTTCTGAAGATCACAGTGGGTAAGTAGCAGAGCCAGGATGTGAACAAAGCCAGTACTAAGCCCTGTCCCATAGCTATGACCCTATGCTGCCTCAAGGAAGTCAACCTGGACCAAACTAATGGGTGGCAAAGTCTTTGGGGATTCAAGACTCAGAAACTAATTCATTTAAATTCTTCCCTTGCAGATCTTTGCAAATTATCCTGTAGAGGGAAAATGCCTAAAGTCAAAAGAAGCCGGAAAGCACCCCCAGATGGCTGGGAGTTGATTGAGCCAACACTAGATGAATTAGATCAAAAGATGAGAGAAGGTGAGTTGGGGAGTTCCTGTCTGGGTGGGCTGGGTCCAAGGGTCACAGGCTTAGTTGCCTCCAGGGGACAGGCATAAATGCAAATATAAAAAGAGGCTGGTCTACTAACACTGACATGTTGTGTTTGCTTTTGAACTCATGGAAATACTGTAAGTGCCTGAAAATAAGATGATATTAATGAAAAGGTCCTCAAAAAGGTTTTTGTGGGGTTTTTTTGCCAACTTGAATATAAAAGGTTAGGAAGTATAGATCAAATACTCTACCTATAGTTATTTCCCATTTTGTTTATATGTATATTTAAAATCATATGCAGTATATTTACTTGGAAGTGCTATTCCTTTTCAGTTTCATCGATTAGTCTTTGCTTCATCTGTTTTCTGTCACTTCCCTGTAAATGGCATGTGAACCCTCACTTTGTGAATCTGTGTCCTGTGCTGTCTTTGGAAATTTTGTCTGAAGCCACAAGCGTCTGTTGGTATTACATGATCACAGTGTGACCACTTACCAAGTTACCTTTTTTTTTAAAAAAAAATGAGACAGGAATCTTGCTCTGTCGTCTAGGCTGGAGTGCACTGTCGTGGTCTCGGCTCACTGCAACCTCTGCTTCCCAGGTCAAGCGATTCTTCTCCCTCCCAAGTAGCTGGGATTACAGGCATGCACCACCACACCCAGCTAATTTTTGTGTTTTTAGTAGCGATGGGGTTTCATCATGTTGGCCAGGCTTGTCACAACTCCTGACCTCAGGTGATCCACCCTTCTTGGACTTGAAATGCTTGCTCACAACTAACCTAATCATTGTTATTCTGAGGCCATACCTCCAGCAGTAATTACTAAATTAAATCAATGTTAAATTACTTTTTCTTTTTTTCTTTTTTTGTTTTTTTTTGTTGTTGTTGTTGTTGTTGTTTTTTGAGACGGAGTTTCGCTCTTGTTACCCAGGCTGGAGTGCAATGGCGCGATCTTGGCTCACTGCAACCTCCGCCTCCTGGGTTCAGGCAATTCTCCTGCCTCAGCCTCCTGAGTAGCTGGGATTACAGGCACGTGCCACCATGCCCAACTAATTTTTTTATTTTTAGTAGAGATGGGGTTTCACTGTGTTGACCAGGATGGTCTCGCTCTCTTGACCTCATGATCCACCCGCCTCGCCCTCCTAAAGTACTGGGATTATAGGCGTGAGCCACCGCATCCGGCTTTTTTTTTTTGTTTTTTAAGACAGAGTCTTACTCTGTCGCCCAGGCTGGAGTGCAATGGCGTGGTCTTGGCTCACTGCAACCTTCACCTTCTGGGTTCAAGTGATTCTCCTGCCTCAGCCTCCCAAATAGCTGGAATTACAGGCATGTGCTACCATGCCAGGCTAATTTTTGTATTTTTAGTAGACGTGGAGTTTTTCAATATTGGCCAGGCTGGTCTCGAACTCCTGGAGTCAAGTGATCCACCCACCTTGGCCTCCCAAAGTGCTCGTATTACAGGCGTAAGCCACTATGCCTGACTGAAGTTACTTTTTTTTTTTTGAGATGGAATTTCACTCTTGTTTCGAGGCTTGGAGTACAATGACGTGGTCTTGTCTCACTGCAACCTCCACCTCCCTCGTTCAAGCAGTTCTCCTGCCTTAGCCTCTCTAGTAGCTGGGAGGACAGGCACGTGCCACCATGCCCAGCAAATTTTTGTATTTAGTAGAGATGAGGTTTCTCCGTGTTAGCCAGGATGGTCTTGATCTCCTGACCTTGTCATTCGCCCACCTCCGCCCCCCAAAGTGCTGGGATTACTGGCATGAGCCACTGCACCTGGCCAACTTTGCCGTTTTTTAAAAGAACTGGGCCGGGCTTGGTGGCTCTCACCTGTAATCCCAGCACTTTGGGAGGCCAAGGCGGGTGGATCACTTAAGGTCAGTAGTTCAAGAGCAGTCTGACCAACATGGTGAAACCCTGTCTCTACTGAAATTACAAAATTAGCCGGGCATGGTGTCGCATGACCGTAATCCCAGCAACTCAGAAGGGGAAGGCTGAGTCAGGAGAATTGCTTGAACCCAGGAGGTAGAGGTTGTGGTGAGCCGAGATAATTGCCATTGCGCTCCAGCCTGGGCAATAAGAGCGAAACTTCATCTCAAACAAAAAAAAATCATGGTACCAGGTAACTTCTATTAAATACCCAGAACTTGCTTTACTATTTAGATTTGGATCACCTATTGCAATAATCATAGTCTTGGGCTGAGAGATTTCTTCCGCAAGTAGCTCTTTATCAAAATCAAGGAAATGGGAGAGTGCTGGAATAGAAGAGATTTTATGAGCCCTTGAAAGTAAATTAACTTTTTCTTCTAAAGGGTGACTTTTGAGGAGAGGAGGAACCTAGCTTTGTGTTTAGATACTCTTTACCTCTAGAAAGAGGTATTCTTTGTTCTGTTTTTGTCTTTGTTTTCATTCTGAGACAAGGTCTCATTTTGTTATCCAGGTTGGAGTGCAGTGATTCAATCACAGCTCAGTGAAGCCTCCACATCCCAGGCTCAAGTGATCCTCCCACCTCAGCCTCCTGAGCAGCTGGGACTACAGGCGTGCACTACCAGTCTTGGCTTATTTTTTGTGGAGAAGGGGTGTGTTAGTCCGTTTTCATGCATCTGATAGACATACCCGAGACTAGGCAGTTTACAAAAGAAAGAGATTTAATGGACTTATAGTTCCACATGGCTGGAGAGGCTTCACAATCATGATTGAGGGCAAGGAGGAGCAAGGCACATCTTACATGTGCACCTGCTGAGTCTTTACTACCTGCTTTTCTGCTTGGATCACAGCATTCTGCTTGTTGAGCTGAATTGTAAATCCTGGTAATAGAATGACATAAAAGCTGGAAACATGGAGGTAGTCTTCTTGACCATTCCTCATTCTTCTGTTTTTCCCTACAAAGTGAGAGGGGGTCATAGACAAAGATGAACTTGTGACTGCTTAGAGAGAATTGCTTGCGGAGAGTATGAGCGCCACCTGATAAGCGCGTGTTGAAACAGTTAACTGTCTCCTTCGGCCACTTCGCTGAGGACCTGCAGACTGGTCTAGTTTATTTGGCTTTTCCTCAGCCCTAAAGGACTTTGGCTGGGAGATGAAAAGAGGTGCCTTAAAGATGATTAGCATGCCCATCTGTGGGCCTATAATTATCTTGAGAAACTATTATGCTGTAAAAATAGATCTGAAAGCATAGGGACCAAGGTTGTTTTTTGTTTTGTTTTGTTTTGTTTTGTTTTGTTTTGAGATAGGATCTCACTCTGTTATCTAGGCTGGAGTGCAGTGGCACAGTCTCAGCTCACTGCAACCTCCGCTTCCCGGGTTCAAGCACTTCTCCTGCCTCAGCCTCCTGAGTAACTGGGATTATAGGCGTGTGCCACCACACCAAGATAATTTTTGTATTTTTAGTAGAGACAGGGTTTCACCATGTTGGCCAGGCTGGCCTTAAACTCCTGACCTCAAGTGATCTGCCCGCCTCGGCCTCCCAAAGTGCAAGGATTAGAGGCATGAGCCACTGCGCCTGGCCAGGACCAGTCTTTTAACAGAGAACAGCAGTTATCATTGATTTTTTTTTTTTAGACAATCTCGCTCTGTCGCTTAGGCTGGAGTGCAGTGGCACAATATCGGTTTACTGTAACCTCCTAACTCTTGGGTTCAACCAGTTCTGCCTCAGTCTCCCAAGTAGCTGGGACTACAGACGTGCGCCACCACACCCGGCTAACTTTTTTTGTTTTTTTAAATTTTTGTGTCTTTCATAGAGACAGGACAGGATTCCACCATATTGGCTAGGCTGGTCTTGAACTCCTGACCTTGTGATCCACTTGCCTCAGCCTCCCAAAGTGCTGGGAATATAGGCATGAGCCACTGCGCCTGGCCCACTGAATGATTTTTTTGTTGTTGTTGTTATTCTTCTTTTTCTTTGGCTTTGGCATCCTGGTAAGTAGATTTTTTTTTTTTTTATTCTGTTTTCTAATTCTGTAATTTAAAAGACGTTTTTTTAAATGTCACACTGGTAACGTGCCACTGGAGTTACAAGGTTCAAGACTGGCACACCTCACACATGGATGTAAACACCCAATCATCACACTCATGAATTACAAAAGGATCCAAAAATATCATTTAAAACGATTGTTTAAATTACTTAGCTTATAACAGCTTTGTTGAGATACTAATCATATACTGTAAAAGTTATCCTGTTAAATTATCCAATTAAGGGGTTTTTAGTGTATTCACAAAGTTATAGGACCACTGCCATAGTCAGTTTTATGTTTCACGGTTCATCTGTGTTATAGATGAGTACTTACTTCATTCCCCCGACGTTTGTTTGTTTGAGACAGAGTCTTGATTTGTTGCCCGGGCTGGAGTGCAGTGGTGCGATCTCGGCTCACTGCAACCTCCACCTCTGGGCTCAAATGATTCTCCCACCTCAGCCTCCCAAGTAGGTGAGATTACAGGCATGTACCACCAATGCCTTGCTAATTCTTTTGTATTTTTAGTAGAGACAGGGTTTTACCATGTTGACCAGGCTGCTCTTGAACTACTGACCTGAAGTGATCCGCCCACCTCAGCCTCCCAAAGTGCTGGGATTACAGGTGTGAGCCACCATGCCTGGCCCTTCATTCCTTTTTATGGCTGAACAATATTCTGTTATAAGGATAGACCACATTTTTGTTCATCTGTTCATCAATTCCTGAACATTTGGGTTCTTTCTACTTTTTAGCTTCTAGGAAACTTCATGTACCAATTTGTGCACATGTTTTTAGTTCTCTTTGGTATGTAGCTAGGAGTGGAATTGCTGCTGGATAATGTTGTAATTATGTTTAACTTCTTTTTTGAGACAGAGCCTCTCTCTGTCACCTAGGCTAGAGTGCAGTGTCATGATCTCGATCTCAGCTCACTGCCACCTCCACCTCCTGGGTTCAGGCAATTCTCCTGCCTCAGTCTCTCAAGTCTCTAGGATTACTTACAGACCCCACCACCACATCTGGCTAATTTTTGTATTTTTAGTAGAGATGGAGTTTCACCATGTTGACCAGGCTGGTCTCGAACTTCTGACCTCAAATGATCTGCCCACCTCAGCCTCTCAAAGTGTTGAGATTACAGGCATGAGCCACCCCTGTTTAACTTATTTATTTTTTTTTTTTTGAGACAGAGCTTCTCTCTGTTGCCCAGGCTAGAGTTCAGTGGCCTGATATTGGCTCACTGCAACCTTTGCCTCCTGGGTTCAAACAATTCTCTTGCCTCAGCCTCCCAAGTAGCCAGGATTATAGGCATGAGCCACCACACCCAGCCTGTTTAACTTTGTGAGGAGCTACTTAACTGTTTTCTGCAGAGGCTCCGCCATTTTACATTCTCACCAGGAATGTATGAGGGTTCCAGTTTCTCCACATCCTTGCCAACCCTTGCTACTGTACCATAATTTTTATTGTAGCCATCCTAGTGAGTGTGAAATGGTATTTATTCATTAGCACTAGTTATTTACAAAAGGAAAATCCTGTGCAGACCAACCTGTTCCCCTAACACATACTTTATTTCTCCCCAGCTGAAACAGAACCTCATGAGGGAAAGAGGAAAGTGGAATCTCTGTGGCCCATCTTTAGGATCCACCACCAGAAAACCCGCTATATTTTTGACCTCTTTTACAAGCGGAAAGCCATCAGCAGAGGTAATTAGTTCTGTCTTGGCCTTTCAAATTTGAGTCCCTTTGGAGTTACTGAAGTAACCACAATCCGTATTCTCACAACCTGTGCAAGTCATGATTTTTCTTACTACTAAAAATTTGGGGGAGTCTATGTTGGCTGGATTTTTTTGGTTTTGGATTGTTTTTTTTTTTTTTAAGACAGAGTCTCACTCTGTTGCCCAGGCTGAAAAGCAGACACCATCTTGGCTCACTGCAACCTCTGCCTCCCGGGTTCAAGCGATTCTCCTGTCTCAGCCTCCCAAGTAGCTGGGATTACAGGTACATGCGAACACACCCAGCTAATTTTTTTTTTTTTTCCTTTTTTGAGGAGTCTCTTTCTGTCACCAGGCTGAAGTGCAGTGGCACGATCTCGGCTCACTGCAACTTCTGCCTCCTGGGTTCAAGTGATTCTCCTGCCTCAGTCTCCCAAGTAGCTGGGATTACAGGCATGCGCCACCACACCCAGCTAGTTTTTGTATTTTTAGTAAAAATGGGGTTTCACCATGTTGGCCAGGATGATCTCGATCTCTTGACCTTGTGATCCGCCTGCCTCGGCCTCCCAAAGTGTTGGGATGACAGGTGTGAGCCACTGCACCTGGCCTTGTATTTTTAGTAGAGACAGCCTTTTGCCATGTTGGTCAGGCTGGCCTGGAACTCCTGACCTCAGGTGATCCGCCTACCACAGCCTCTCAAAGTGCTGGGATTACAGGAGTGAGCCACTGCACCTGGTGAATGCTCTTTTTGATCCTGGGGTGGGAAGGTCTGTTAGACCGTGGTCTGAAGCTCTTTCCCCATCTTTTTTGACAGAACTCTATGAATATTGTATTAAAGAAGGCTATGCAGACAAAAACCTGATAGCAAAATGGAAAAAGCAAGGATATGAGAACTTGTGCTGCCTGCGGTGCATTCAAACACGGGACACCAACTTTGGAACAAACTGCATCTGCCGCGTACCCAAAAGCAAGCTGGAAGTGGTAATGTCTGATGCTCACACTTGATGTTATTTTCAGCTCAAAATTCTGCCCTAGTCAACTCCAAGGGATCTTACGTTATTTGGTTGGACTGGAATGTCATTTTGTTCCTGGATATTCTGCTGGCTGTCCCTCCCAGGAGTGGGTCCCTCTATTCAGAAATGTGTGAGAGGCAGCGTTTGGCCGGGACTGTGTTTGTTAAGTCTGGGGCCAATCTCAACTCCACTTTTGGGCAAATTACTGAACCCCTTTCCTCAAAATGGTGGCAAGGAGCCCTACTCCTGAAGTGGTGGCAGGGTGACATCAGGGAGGGGTGGCCACTCAGTGGGAGTTCCTGTCCCTTTGCCTCAGTGCTCACAGTGATACTTTCCTGTTACCATCACTGTCTTTTTTTTTTTTTTTAACCCCGAGATGGAATCTTGCTCTGTCACCCAGGCTGGAACGCAGTGGCGTGATCTCGGCTCACTACAACTTCCGCCTCTCGTGTTCAAGCAATTCTCCTGCCTCAGCCTCCCTAGCAACTGGGATTACAGGTGTGCGTCACCACACCTAGCTAATTTTTATATTTTTAGTAGAGACGGGGTTTTACCATGTTGGTTGGGCTGGTCTCCAACTCCTGACCTCATGATCCACCCACCTCAGCCTCCCAAAGTGCTGGGATTACAGGCATCAGCTACTGGGGGGCTCTGGGCAGAAGGGTGTGACTCAAGTGCGTAGCCTCCTGCCCATTCCCTCACCAGTGTCCCAGCCCAGAGGCCACCCAGAAGTCCCCAAGCAGTAGCAGAGCCACCTCTGCTCATGCAGGGCCTGCCACACTCACTCAGCCAAATAACGAGACTCATTCACACCAATTGCTTTTTCTTGACTAGCACATGTGTATTGGATTTGCATAATGTATTACAAATACACATACAGCTGTAGCCTCAGTGTCAACAGCAGCTGTCCGCCTTCATGAGGGAGCCAAATTTCCCGTCCAGAGCTGTCAGGAAGGGTTTCTGAGGCGTGTCCCTATACAGCCTGTTGGCAGGTCCTCCACGGGAGGGTTGGCGTGAGCATGCAGGGGCGAGCGTGGCGCCCAGGCATCATCTCACTGTCCTCCTCCGTTGCAGGGCCGCATCATTGAGTGCACACACTGCGGCTGCCGTGGCTGCTCTGGCTGAGGCTGGCGCTCTCCACCCTGGACTCTGGACTTCGCGGGTTCCTGCCTGTGGCGCCATCCGCTTCCTGGGGGCAGCGAGCAGTGCCCCAGGCCCAAGTTGGAGCACAGTCTCTACAGGGAAGATGTTGCTGTCCATCAGCTGTGATTTGTAAAAATAAAACCTTTAAACCTCTTGGGCCTCAAGTCTGTTCTTTCAGAGCATTGGCCTGGGGGCAGCACCAGGCCACAGGGAGCAGATGCCCCAGCTCCGTGCTGGCCCCCTTGTGGTGTGTGAGGTGACATGTGAAGGTGGCTGGAACTGCCATGGACCTGCCGGCCAGGAGTGCAGGCACCTTGGGCCAAGCGTGTGTTCTCACACCAACACCTGTGACATACTACAGCTGTTCTACAGGGCCTGGCTCATCCCCTAGGTGGGAGGTGACACCAGCTCACTTGTCTTGGAGCTCCCACAGAGCACTGAGGGCCAAGCATGTTGTTCCAGCTGTGCCCCCATCACCTGCCCCCAAGGCCTCTATCCACATCAGCCTCCCTGCTGGTGTCCTGGTCCTCCCGGGGCTTGGTCCGAAACTTCTGCCAAGGGTGCGGGGTTTCCTCTGCGGGCATCACTTTCAGCCACTGCTTGTAATAGGCTCGGAAGCCGTCAATCTTCTCCAGGTAGGTGTTCTTCCCTTTGTACTGGAATTAGAAAAGTGAGGCTAGAATCACTGCCTGTTACCTACACCTAATCCCAAACCTCAGCAGCTGGCTCAGGCCTGAAGGAAGCTGGTCGCTGCCATGTTCCCTTCCAGGTGGCTGCAGGGAACAGAGCAGAAAAGCTGCGAACATGCACTATGGAAGTGGCTTACTGCAGAGAAACAGGTCCCAGCTGGGTACCCCAGGGCAGGCCCAGACTCCCATCTGTCTGACAGCATTCTCCCAAATATGCACCACTGTGCTCCTCCATCCGTGCTTGCCAACCCACGCCCCCAGGTCCCACCAGCTCTGCCTCTACAGCCTGCTGAGCCCCAGCCCCTCCTGTCATCTCTGTACTGCCGAGATGGGCTCCATAGAGAGGTGGGGAAAAAGAAATGCACCAGGCAGAAACTGAGCTGGAATATACCAAAACAGCCAAAAATGACTATCTGACATACAGCTACTACCACACAGTGATAAAACGTGTGACTCAGAAGACTGGACAATTCTAAACCTGAAGGGGCCGAATACAGCCTGAAAGCACAGAAAGCAAAACTGGACAGAATCACGAATATAAACAAGTCCACCATCATCAGGGAATATGAGCACAGATGCTCCCGAGAGCAGGGTTCTGCTCCTATAAACCCATCATAAACCAAAAATCAATCTACTGGCTGGGCATGGTGGCTCATGCCTGTAATCCCGGTGCTTTGGGAAGCCAAGGCAGGTGGATCACATGAGATCAGGAGTTGCAGACCAGTTTGGGCAATACAGTGAATCCCTATCTAAAAGATCAGCTGGGCCAGGTGCAGTGGCTCACACCTGTAATACCAGCACTTTGGGAGGCAGAGGCAGGCAGATCACCTGATGTCAAGAGTTCAAGACCAGCCTCATCAACATGGAGAAACTACCATCTCTGCTAAAAATACAAAAAATTAGCCAGAAGTGGTAGTGCATAGCTGTAATCCAAACTACTTGGAAGGCTGAGGCAGGAGAATCACTTGAACCCGGGAGGCAGAGGTTGCAATGAGCCGAGATGGCACCATTGCACTCCAGCCTGGGCAACAAGAGTGAAACTCCATCTCAAAAAAAAAAAAAAGATTAGCTGGATATGGTGGTGCATGCCTTTAGTCTCAAGTCCTCAGGTGGCTAAGGTGGGAGGATTGCTTAAGCCTGGGAGGTCAAGGCTACAGTGAGCCATCATGGTGCCACTGTACTCTGCCCTGGTCAACAAAGTGATCCTGACTTAAAAAAAAAAAAACAAGGGACGGCCAGGCACAGTGGCTCACACCTGTAATCCCAGCATTATGGGAGGCCGAGGTGGGCGGATCACAAGATCAAGACCAGACTGGCCAATAGGGTGAAACCCCATCTCTACTAAAAAAAAAAAAAAAAATCAGCCAGGGGTGGTGGCAGGCACCTATAATTCCAGCTACTTGGGAGGCTGAGGCAGAAGAATTGCTTAAAGCCAGAAGGCAAATGTTGCAGTGAGCCAAGATCATGCCACTGCACTCCAGCCAGCGCGAAGAGTCAAACTCCATCTAAAAAAAAAAAAAAGAAACGTGGTGGCTTACACCTATAGTCCTGGCATTTTCAGAGGCCGAGGAGGGTGGATCACGAGGTCAAGAGTTCAAGACTAACCTGGCCAAAATGGTTAAGACCCGTCTCTACTAAAAAAAATACAAAAATCAGCCAGGCATGGTGGTAGGGGCTTGTAATCCCAGCTATTCAGGAGGCTGTGGCAGGAGAATTGCTTGAACTCAGGTGGCAGAGATTGCAGTTAGCCAAGATCATACCACTGCACTCCAGCCTGGGGGACAGAGTTCGACTCCATCTCAAAAAAAAAAAGGAAAATGCATCTATTGCTGGCAACACAGCAGAGGGTCCATTTTTTTCTGAGACGGAGTCTTACTGTGTTGCCAGGCTGGAGTGCAGTGACACAATCTCAGCTCACCGCAATCTCCGCCTCCCGAATTCAAGTGATTGTCCTGAGTAGCTGAGACTACAGGCACACACTACCACACCCAGCTAATTTTTGCATTTTTAGATTTTTAGTAGAGATAGGTTTCACCATTTTGGCCAGGATGGTCTCTATCTCTTGATCTTGTGATCAGCCCGCCTCGGCAGGCTTTCTAATTATGCAAAAGTGATACGCATTCAGTAGAAACTGTAACCCCACTGTTAGCTGATCCTTACAGGGTTACATCCTGATAAAACCATTGCAACGTTGAAAAATCCTAAGTCAAACCATCTTTAAGTCAGGGACATCTGTCTGTGACTTGAATACAGTATACTTTAGGCCTTGTGACTGCTGAGTTGAAACTAAGACGACCCCTAGTGAGCCCTACACCAGAGTGAAGAGACAATCCTCTAAGATACGCACAACATGTAATCAACAAAAACCAGTACCCAGAACATATAAAACACCCTGGAATCAGTGAGAAAAGACTCGCAACCAACAGTTCAAAGCAAAGACGCACAGTTCAAAGCCGCCCAGCTATGCCTTCAGCTGCCAGGCACGATCTCCACTGCTGCCCCACCCATTTGTAGGAAGCCCTCAAAATGGCATTCAGGTGTGACACTTGCATGGTGTTCCTGACCCCACACCCTCTGGCTGTGTGCGTCCCTGCATATTTACTTGTCACCACCCATCTGGGTTGTTCTCCAAGCCTCAGTGGCTCTGGATGCTCCAGAGGTGCTCAGCACAGTGTGTGACTTGATGGACCCAAAAACCAAACCCCTAGAGCCTGATACCCTCAGAATAGCAGGGAGAGACTGTGGCCGTGACAAAGCAGATTCCAATACTCTGCCCTGCTCCTGCTGACACAGGAGACAGGCAGATAGTAAGGGCAACAGAGTCCTTGGCGAAATTTTCCTTTTAATAAAAAGCAACCCCCAAACCATTTCTTTTCTAACAAAGAGCAGCCTGAAAAATTAAGCTGCAGACATAGATAAGCAAGCTGGAAGTTTGCATGGGGGAATGCTGCCAGCTGTGCCAACAGAAAAGGACTACCTGGGAGTCAGGTGTGTTCCACATGGAGGCCCCATCTTCCCTTTTGTCGTCACATGTACAGTAAAGAACCAGGCAACATGGCACTGGCCAGGTAGAGAACCTATCTGCATAATAAAAGATTAGGGTGGGACGGCCAGCTATTACACACGCTATGTAAGTGGCACACTTGGTCCAACCAATCTTTTTCATCCTTTGTATATCAGACACCACTCAAGCTCATCTACAAAACCTGCTACATTCACTGCAGAAGGGGCAACCTATTTCTCTTGCACCCCTCTCTGCAAGCAGAGAGCTCTTCTCTTTCTTTCGCCTGTTAAACTTCCAATCTTAACCTCTGTTTTTTTTTGAGACTGAGTCTCCATCTATTGCCCAGGCTGGAGTGCAGCGGCTCAATCTCAGCTCACTGCAACTTCTGACTCCTGGGTTCAAGTGATTCTTGTGCCTCCATAGTAGCTGGGATTACAGGCACCCACCAGCACGCCCAGCTAATTTTCATATTTTTAGTAGAAATGGGGTTTTGCCTTGTTGGCCAGGCTGGTCTTGAACTCCTGACCTCAGGTGATCCATCTGCCTTGGCCTCTCAAAGTGCTGGGACTACAGGTATGAGACAATGTGCCTGGCCTTAACCTCACTATGTGTCCACATCCTTGATTTCCTTGGTGTGAGGCAACAAATCTTGGATATTTACCCCAGACAATGCCACTGCACTGCCTGTCCAGTCCCTGAACCAGCAACAACCTATACAGAGACCCCAGCAACGTTCAGGTGCTGGGGATCCAGGCAGTCATGGCAGACAGCCTCTGCCTCCAGAAGCCTGTGAAACAGGGAAGGCCAGAGCCACCTGGGAGCACATGCTCCAAGACTCTGGGACACGGCATAAACGAACAGAGCGGGAAGTGGTGGGGAGGGAAGACTTTCACCCCAGGTGGGACAGGCAGCCAGCTGGGCATCTCTGAGGGCCACTTAAGCCAAGACCTACAGGAGAAAGAGCCCGTCACATGAAAGTGGGTGGCACCTGAGGCAGCAAGAACACCAATAGCCTGAGGCAGGCAAGAGGCTGGTGGCCTCTGGGAACTGACGAAAAGCCAGGGGGACAGACAGAGGTAGCAAAGGCAAGGCTGGCCTGAGACATGAGATGAGTCATGTAGACAGGGACTCACAGGCTGTGGTCTACGGACTTAGAGACTTCTAAGGGAAGCTGCTGGACAGTTTCAAGCATGGGAACACAGTCCCAAGGACCAGAACTGGGGTGGGTGGTGGTGTGGGGTGGCAATGGTGAAGGAGCTGATGCGCTTCTGAGCTTGGGACACACACCCGGTCAAAGGTGGGAGGGTACTGGGCTGCAAACTCCAGCTGGCGGATGACCACTTCGTTCACCGGGACACTGTTCTGCCTCATGTCCTTCAAGATGTTGATGAGATAGGTGTAGTCCAGCTTCTGGACGGCCGCATTGATGAGGGCGCTGTAGATGTGGGTGTTGGGGGTCACTTGGCACTTCTAGAACACACAGACATCACACAAGACATCGTAGCAAGATGATGGCAGCCTTTGGGATCCAGCAGCTCCCACCCTCTATCAATCAGGCTAGCTCCCAGTACCAGCGGCCAGGGCCAGCAAGGCAAACCTGGCAGCAACGATGGGCTGAACGTCCCATTCCAGCAGGAAAGCCAAGCCCAGCACCTCCCCTCTGCCCTGAAGAAGCCGTGGAAAAGGATGCCCGTGCTGCTCTCAGGCACCAACTGACTCGGGCAGAAAATGACGCAGGAGACACCACCTCCTCACTCCCCGGTGCGAGTTTCCTGGTGACACAGTCACTGGAATATGGTGGTCAGCCTAGAAAAGCAGCGAGACTTGGCTTGAGCCCAGTAGGGTCTGGGAAAACAGCAAGAGGATGATGGACCCCAACAACCCAGGAAGCAGCTTCTGCTACGGCCAGATGAAATGATGCAGCACTTCCAGCAGGGACTGGGTGGGAGGCACAGGAGATCTCGAGAGCTTTGAAAACTGCCCTCGGCCCCCTAGGAATTCTTTCCCCTAGGAATCCCTGCCATCCCTCCAGAGTGTTAGGACCAAGGCCTGTCCCCACCCCTCAGTGTCACCCCACGGCCACCTTCTTCCAGATGGGGATGTCCGTGGCTCTCTACGCCGAGCCCTGAAGCACTCACCGAGATCTGCTTACCCCAAAATGGGACTGAAGACTATTCTACCCTGGAAACTCATCGACCCACTCTCCTTGCCCCAACGCACAGCTCGTCATGTCCAGGTAGGGGGCCTGGAGGGCTCTGGGAACCCCTACTCCCCCTGATTTTCCTCCTGAGCCACAGAGTACTCCTCAGCACCATGGGCATTCTGCCCAGGCCCAGGTCCACTCACCTTCATGTCTGCGAGGAGCTGCAGACCGTCCCTTGGCCTGCGACACCCGATAGCAAGGTTGCAGAACGTCTGCAGGTTGGGGACGAGGCCCCTCTTTGCCAGGACTGGTAACAGCGCCTTAGCCCCATCCAGGTCTCCCAGCTTGCTCTTCTTTCTCACCAGCGTGTTGAAGAACGTCAGGTCGGCCTCCACCTGGTGCACGTCCGGGAGGGCCAGCACCATGGACTCCATGGGACTCCCAGGCTCTACCACCTCAGCCAGTAATGTGAGGGTCCTGATGTCGGGCTGCTGCCCATGCTCTGCCATCTTGCTCAGGAAGCCATCCAAGCCCCCCATCAAGGCTAGCCGGTCAGCTGGGCTGGTCACTGTCCCAAAGGAGACCACAGTGGTGGGGACCGCCCCGGGGGTCAGGAGGTTGACTTCCAGCTCCACAGGAGGTGGCTTCGGGGCCACTGGGTTGAGGGCCTCTGTGTGGCTGGGATCTGCCTCGGTTTCCACCTCTGGCTGGGCCTTGCTGGGCACTCTGGCTTCCTGAGGCTCTGGAGGCCCAAGTGCCTGAGAAGGTTCCGGAAACAGCTGCCTCTCCAGGGCCTCCACATGCAGCATGGTTGACATGCGATTGCCTGCCTTGGCCTGGGATGTCCTCCTTGGCCGCTGCCTGCCCACCAGGGGCTGAAGCAGGGTTGCCTCTTCCCTAGGCTTCAGAAGCAGCTCTGAGGCCACCTGGGGGTCCCCCAGCCCACAGTCCCGAGCTGCCACCAACAGCAGGTTATAGATGTCCCGATTTGGCTGTAGCCCCAAACTCAGCATCAGCTGCCACACCTGCCAGGGGAGAGACAAACGTCAGCTCAGTGCTCCCACCTGCAGCCAGGCGCAGGGCTCATGTCTGGAATCCCAGGGCCTTGAGAGTTTTAGGTGGGAGGATCCCTTGAGGTCAGGAGTTCCAGACAAGACCCTGTAACATAGCAAGACCCTGCAGCAAAACAAATAGGCCTCAATTCTCAATCTTCTGGGGAAAAATTAAAAAAAAAGGAAGAAAAGAAAAAACAAACAGGCCAGGCGTGATGGTTCACACCTATAATCCCACCACTTTGGGAAGCTAGGGGAGCAGATTGCTTGAGGTCAGGAGTCCAAGACCAGCCCGTCCAACGTGGTGAAACCCCACCTCTACTAAAAATACAAAAATTATTGGGTGTGGTGGGGCATGCACATAGTCCCAGCTACTCAGGAGGCTAAAGTGAGAGACACTTAACCCGGAGGTTGAGGTTGCAGTGAGCCGAGATCACACCACAGCACTGCAGCTTGGGTGACAGAGTAAGACTTTGACAAAACAATTTAAAAAAAAAATTTTTTTTTTTTTTGAGACAGAGTTTCGCTCTTGTTACCCAGGCTGGAGTGCAACGGCGCGATCTTGGCTCACCGCAACCTCCGCCTCCTGGGTTCAGGCAATTCTCCTGCCTCAGCCTCCTGAGTAGCTCGGATTACAGGCACGCGCCACCATGCCCAGCTAATTTTTTGTATTTTTAGTAGAGACGGGGTTTCACCATGTTGACCAGGATGGTCTCGATCTCTCGACCTTGTGATCCACCCGCCTCGGCCTCCCAAAGTGCTGGGATTACAGGCTTGAGCCACCGCGCCCGGCCAAAAAAAAAATTTTTTTAATAAAAATAAATAAAAAGCTTTCTAACCGGGAGCTGTGGTTCACGTCTATAATCCCAGCACTTTGGGAGGCCCACACAGTCGGATCACATGAGGCCAGGGGCTCAAGACAAGCCTAGTCAACATGGTAGAACCCATCTCTACTAAAAATACAAAATTAGCTGGGCATGGTGGCACACACCTGTAATCCCAGTTACTTGGGAGGCTGAGACAGGACAATCCTCTGAACCTGTGAGGTAGAGGTTGCAGTAAGCCGAGATCATGCCACTGCACTCCAGCCTGGGCAACAGTGAGATTCTGTCTCAAAATGAATGAATGAGTGAGTGACTCCTGGGTCCCACCTGCAGAAGTGCTAGCGGGGCTGTGGGAGGATTGAACAAGTCCCCAGGTGAATGTGTGGCAGTCTTTCAGGGATGGTGAGTCTAGAGGGTCTGAGTCGACTGCAAAGCAGAGTGCGAGAGGTGGGGGCTGCCCTCATTCCACCTCCGAAAGCCTCTTCTCCCTGCCATCTGTAGACGGGGGCTGCAGTGGCTGCTGGGTTTTCCCAAAAGAGCACAGATATAAAAATACCCAGCACAGGGCCATCAAGAGTGCTCACAGGATCACCATTTTACACCCCTGGCACAGGAGAAGCAGGGCAGGAAGGTGGGGTGGGAGGGACATACCTGGAGGGCGCACCGGAAGCCCGTCTTCTTGTCTTGGATGCAGCCCATAAGGAGAAAACTGAAAGTCTCCTCTGTGACCACGTGCCCTTTGTGGATAATTTCCTGGGGGAGGGAACAAAGAGGTCCCATTGAGAACCTGCAACTGGCTGGGCATCATGGCTCATGTCTGTAATCCTAGCACTTTGGGAGGCCAAGGCAGGAGTTTGAGACCAGCCTGAGCAACATAGCAAAACCCTGTCTCTACACTCAGATCAAGGACACCTCCTCCAGGAAGCTTTTCCTCGAGTGCACAAAGCAGGACACAGCATACAGTGGCACACACACCTTCCAGTCAGCCTGAGGCCCCTAAGGGCAGGGTTTCATCAGATCCATCTGTGAACCCCAGTGCCCAACACGGCTGTCTCAGCCTCCCTGAGTCTTCCTGCATGAGGAGAGATAGACACCACAGCCCCGCCCCTGCCATGTGGGACCAGCCCCACAACAGGGAACAGGAAGGCAGGGGAAGTCTCACTTTGAATACATCGAGGCACATCCTAAGGTCTGCACACTTGGCAGCCATCTTCAGCAGTGCATGGTACGTTTTCAAGTTGAGCTGGAAGTTTCTGGCTTGGAGCTGCTGCCGGAGCTTCAGGGCACTCTGCAGAGCCGAGTCCTTCCAGGGAGACTCAGCACAGACATTGAACAGGGCCGTGTAGGTGGCATCTGAGGGCTCCAGGCCCCGCTTTTTCATCTGTGGAGATGGAAGAACCTCTCAGTGGTGGCCCAGGATCAGCTGTATACACAGGTGGGCAGCCGCCCCAGATGGGGCTGAGGCTAGAGCGGACCCCGTTACAGCACCCACCAGGCCAGGCTCTAAGGCAGAGCCATGGTTCACATCAGAGCCCAGCTCTTCAAACACAGATACACTCAAGTGACTCTGAAAACTGAGCCCACACCCATAGATGGACCAAACCGAAGCCATCCTGCCCTGGGCACTTGTCAGCCCACTCCAGGCCTCAGGTGCTGGCAGCAGGGTCTTCCTGATGTCCCCACCTTCAGGCCACCCTGTTGAGGGGAAACGGCCTGTAGTGCTAACTACCTGATGGGTCCTGGGCACCACTTCCTCATGAAAATGGGGATGGCACCATCACCTTGAAAATGGGGATGCCTGTGGCAAGTGGAGGGTGTGCTGCCGTGCTCTAGCGGTGGCCCCGAATCAGTGGCATGATGCACATTGTCAGGGCCACCCAATCTGCTGAGTCACACACCCGGAGGTAGATGACACTCAGCTTATCGAGCCTCCAGGGGACTGGGGCAGGTGCTCAAGGTTGACAATCCCTAGTGAAGCCCAGCACTCTCTACTGCCCAGAGAAGGGCCATCTGGCAGAGGGCAGGCAACAGGCAGCTCGGTGGCAGAAAGAACCCTGCTAGAGCCAGGGCATTTGGGGCTCAAATCCTAGCCCCAGTGCTTTCAAGTGGGGAGGCCTTGGACATGTTCCTTCCTCACTCTGTGCCTCAGTTTCCTTATCTGAAAGGCAAAGATGGGAGTACCTACACTGAGGATGATGTAGGCTCTGCGTGTATTGCTGCACTCCACAGAGGCGCACTGACAACTTGCTACCTGCCCGGCACCAGCCCTGAAGTTAGCAGAGCAGACACAGCGTGTCGTTACTGAGCTTACACTCGATCTGGGAGACACACTGCAGGTGAGTCACTAAAAACAGTAACAAGACTAGGTGCAGTGGCTCGTGCCGGCAATCCCAGGACTTTGGGAGGCTGAGATGGGCAAATCACCTGAGGTCAGGAGTTCAAGAACAGCTTGGCCAACATGTCTTCTACAAAAAAATTAGTCAGGGGTGGTGGTGGGTGCCTTTAATCCCAGCTACTCGGGAGGCTGAGGAAGGAGAAACACTTGAACCTGGGAGCTGGAAGTTGCAGTGAACCGAGATCATGCTACTGTACTCCAGCCTGGGGGACAGAGCCAAGACTCCTGTCTCAAAAAATATATAAATAAAATAAAAAACCATAAAAAATAAAAACTTTTGGCTGGGTGTGGTGGTGCACACCTGTAATCCCAGCAATTGGGGACGCCAAGGCAGGTGGATCACCTGAGGTCAGGAGTTTGAAACCAGCCTGGCCAACATGGTGGAACCCCGTCTCTACTAAAAATACAAAAATTAGCCAGGCATGGTGGTGTACACCTGTAGTACCAGCTACTGGGGAGGCTGAGGCAGGAGAATCACTTGAACCTGGGAGGCAGAGGTTGCAGTGAGCAGAGATCACGCCACTGCACTCCAGCCTGGCGACAGCGAGACTCTGTCTCAAAAAATAATAATAACTTTGTCTTAAACAGACAGAGTGAGACTCTGTCTCAAATAAATAAATAAATAAATAAATAAGCGAGACTCACTCTGTCTCCCAGGCTGGAATGCAATGTCGATCTCTGATCACTGCAACCTCCGTTTCCCAGGTTGAAGTGATTCTCCTGCCTCAGCCTCCTCACAAGTAGCTGGGAGTACAGGAGCACACCACCATGCCCAGCTAATTTTTGCATTTTTAGTAGAGACAGGTTTCACCATGTGGGTCAGAATGGTCTTGATCTCTCGACCTCATGATAAGCCTGCCACAGCCTCTCAAAAGTGCTGGATTACAGGCATAAGCCACCGCACCAGGCCAAAAATAATAATTTTTTTTTGAGACGGAGTTTCGCTCTTGTTACCCAGGCTGGAGTGCAATGGCGCTATCTCGGCTCACCGCAACCTCCGCCTCCTGGGTTCAGGCAATTCTCCTGCCTCAGCCTCCTGAGTAGCTTGGATTACAGGCATGTGCCACCATGCCCAGCTACTTTTTTGTATTTTTAGTAGAGACGGGGTTTCACCATGTTGACCAGGATGGTCTCGATCTCTTGACCTTGTGAGCCACCCGCCTCAGCCTCCCAAAGTACTGGGATTACAGGCTTGAGCCACCGCGCCCGGCCAATAATTTTTTAAAAAGTATGTAATAGTAAATTATCATCTGTCACTGCAATTTCTTCCCCTTGCTTCCAACTAGAGGCCATAAGAGTATGTCTCAAATAACGAGAAGCCTAAGGTTCCCTGGAGCCCTCAGTTTCCAGCTGCAGAAGAGGTGTCTCTCCTGCAGAGTCTACAGGACTAACTAAATAAAAGGAAATAGCTTCCTGGCTCTGAGAATAACAAATATAACACACCTAAGAGGTGAGTGGATGTAAAGGAAAGCCACTTCCAGGAGGAGTGAGAGCCTTTTGCAAAGTGCCAGCTCTGGAAGAAGGGTGCACGTGTGTACACATTGTGAGAAAGGAGGACTGGATGTAACTGAAAAAAAAAAAAAAAAAAAAAAAAGGGGCTAGGTTCGATGGCTCATGCCTATAATCCCAGCACTTTGGGAGGCCAAGATGGGTGGATCACTTGAGGTCAGGAGTTCAAGACCAGCCTGGTCAACATGATAAAATGCTATCTCTACTAAAAATACAAAAAAATGGCCGGGCACGGTGGCTCACACCTGTAATCCCAGCACTTTGGGAGGCCAAAGCAGGTGGATCACGAGGTCAAGAGATCAAGACCATCCTGGTCAACATGGTGAAACCCCGTCTCTACTAAAAATACAAACAAATTAGCTGGGCATGGTGGTGCGTGCCTGTAATCCTAGCTACTCAGGAGGCTGAGGCAGGAGAATTGCCTGAACCCAGGAGGCAGAGGTTGCGGTGAGTGGAGATCACGCCATTGCACTCCAGCCTGGGTAACAAGAGCGAAACTCTGTCTTAAAAAAAAAACAAAAACAAAAATAAAAAAATGAGCCAGGCATGGTGGCTTGCCCCTGTATTCCCAGCTACTCTCAGGAGGCTGAGGCATGAGAAGCACTTGAGCCCAGAGGGCAGTGATTGCAGTGAGCCAAGATCGTACCGCTGCACTCCAGCCTGGGCGACAAAGTGAGAATCTGTCTCAAAAAAAGAGGGAAAAAAAAGGAGCATGTGCGGTGGCTGTGGCCTGTAATCCCAGCACTTTGGGAGGCTAAGTCGGATGGCCAGGGGTTAGAGGCCAGCCTAGACAACACAGCACAATCCTACCTCTATAAAAATTTTTAAAATTAGCCCAATAAGGTGCTACACACCTGTAGTTACAGCTACTGGCAAGGCTAAGGCAGGAAGAACTCTTGAGCCCAGGAGTAGGAGACTGCAGTGAGCTATGATTGTACTCCAGCCTAGGCAACAGAGTGAAATTCCGTCTCTTTTTTTTGTGAGAAAGTCTTGCTCTGTTGCCCAGGCTGGCATGCAGCGGCTCAATGTTGGCTCACCACAACCTCTGCCTCTTAGGTTCAAGTGATTCTCCTGCCTCAGCCTCCTGAGTAGTGGGGACTACAGGTGTCTGCCACCACACATGGCTAATTTTTGTATATTTTCTTTTTTTTCTTCGACAGAGTCTTGCTCTGTCTCCGAGGCTGGGGTACAATGGCGCAATCTCAGCTCACTGCAACCTCCGCCTCCCAGGTTCAAGCAATTCTCCTGTATCAGCCTCCCCAATAGCTGGAATTACAGGTGCCTGCCACTGCATCCAGCTAATTTTTGTACTTTTTAGTAGAGATGGGGTTTTGCCATGTTGGCCAGGCTGGTCTTGAATTCCTGACCTCCCAAAGTGCTAGGATTACAGGCATGAGCCACCACACCCTGCCTAATTTTTGTATTTTTAGTAGATAGAGACGGGGTTTCACCATGTTGGCCAGGCTGGGTCTCAAACTCCTAACCTCAAGTGATCCACCCATCTCAGCCTCCCAAAGTGCTGGGATTACAACCTTGAGCCACCGCCATCTCTTTTTTTTCTTTGAGACAGAGTCTCGCTCTTTCCCTCAGGCTAGAGTGCAGTGGTGCGATCTCGGCTCACTGCAACCTCTGCCTCCCGGGTTCAAGTGATTCTCCTGCCTCAGCCTCCTGAGTAGCTGTGACTACAGGCACACACCCCCACACCTGGCTAATTTTTATATTTTTAGTAGAGATGGAGTTTCAGCATGTTGAATTCCTGACCTCCTGTGATCAGCCTGCCTTGGCCTCCCAAAGTGCTGGGATTTCAGACTTGAGTCACTGTGCCCAGCTGAGACCTCATCTCTTAAGAAAAAAGAAAGGGAACATGGGGACCACCGCAGTCCAGGCAGGTGCTGAAGGGCTTTCCATGTCACCTTATGTATCACCCACAACCACCACCATTTTAAGGAGATGACTCTGAGGCCAGGGAGGTGAGGTCACCTGCCCTGCGTAAATCACTAGCGAGCGGCACACCAGGGATCTGCCCCTGCTGCCCCGCAACCACAGGCACCTCGTTGTAGAGCTTGAAGGCCTTCTTCAGGTAGCCGACCCGCCCGCAGCCCCCAATCAGCACGGTGTAGTTGCTCTCCATTGGCTGCAATCGCTCCTCCTTCAGCATCTGCCTCTCAAACAGGTCCAGGGCTTCGACCAGCTGCAGGGGAAGAGGCAACAGGACAGGGACTCAGGACTGCCCGAGACCCACGGCAGAGAGAGGGAGGTTGAGGCTGAGGGACCCTCCGGAGACAGTGCAGGACGGTGGCCCTGGGTGACTGCAAACTCCCTAGGCCCCCGGCTGTCTCTGCCCTATCCTGACCCTCACATCATTCCCCTGGTAAAGCCTCGTTTCATTCCTTTATTCCTTAATTATTTCCATCTGTTGATTCAGACTATAATTACTGAGTGCCTCAATGAACCAGGCAGTGTATCCACTGCAAATACAGCTGGGAACAAGTGGGAGCGCCTTCTTGGAGCTCATGTTCTGGAGTGGAAAGACAGATACAAGGCTGGGCATGGTGGCTCACACCTGTAATCCCAGCACTTTGGGAGGCCAAAGTGGCAGATGACAAGATCAGGAGTTCAAGACCAGCCTGGCCAACATGGTGAAACACCATCTCTATTAAAAATACAAAAATTAGCCAGGCATGTTGGCACATGCCTATAATCTCTGCTACTTGGGAGGCTGAGGCAGAACTGCTTAAACCTGGGAGGCAGAGGCTACACTGAGCCGAGATTGAGCCACTGCACTACAGCCTGGGTGACAGAGCAAGACTCCATCTCAAATAAACAAAAAACAGACAGACATGAAATAGGGTAATTAAGAAAGACATACAGTATGTCAAGTGGTGACAGGTGCTACAAACAAAACTAAAGCAGGGGCCAGGCAAAGTGGCTCACACCTGTAATCCCAGCACTATGGGAGGCCAAGGTGGGCAGATCACCTGAGTTCATGAGTTCGAGACCATCCTGGCCAACATGGCAAAACCCATCTCTACTAAAAATACAAAAATCAGCCAGGCGTAGTGGCACATGCCTGTAATCCCAGCTACTCAGGAGGTTGAGGCAGGAGAACTGCTTGAATTCCCCAGGGGACAGAGGGTGCAGTGAGCCAAGACTGCACCACTGCACTCCAGCCTGGGCGACAGAATGAGACCCTGTCTTAAAAAAAAAAAAAAAAAAACACTAAAGTAGGGAGTGCCAGAAGGATGTGGAGTCCCAGAAGGATGTGGAGGATTCACTTTTCTTTTCTTTCTTTTTTCTGAGACAGTCTTTTCTGTTATTTAGGCTGGAGTGCAATGGTAAGATAAGCTCAGTGCAACCTCCATCTCTACAATAAAAAAAAAAAAAAAACTGCAGCGAAGGATGGAGAAGGGCAGGGATACTTATAGCCATGAGGCTGGCAGTTCAGCAGGGTGGTTGAAGGCAAAGAGCGGAGGTCCACAGACCAGGCCCTGTGCAGCCCAATACTTAAGAGGCTGAGAAGGTCAGGTGACCCCTTGCAAAACACTGAACCGCCAGGGGTAAGAAGCTGGGAGCCTCAGAACCTAAAGCGCCCCTCACCTTCCCTTCCTTGATCAGGCGTTTGCACTGCAAGAAGTACCAGTATGGGGTGTTTCTCCGGCCTCGCCATAGTTTGGGCTCTGGTTCCCTTTGCTCATCTTCCTCATTGTGTTCCCTGAGCCGCAGGTTATAGTACTGGGCTGTTGATTTTCGGAATAGTTTCCGGGAGGAGTATTTGTCAGAAAGGGTCCCAAAACTCTCCTCTTCCTCTTCGTCTTCCTCCTGAGTGGTCGTGGGGTTGGAGTGGCTCGGGTCAGAGCCCAGACTGCCTGTGTTCTCCTGGCCAAGAGGCAGCTGACAGGAGGAGCTGCTGAAGGCCGCCCACACTGGCTGCATCAGCCCCTCCCTGCCTCCTGCCCACCTGACTCTACAAGGGTCCAGGTGTTGCAGGATAAACAGTCCCATGGGGCGAGCCCTGGAGAACAGTCGAGTGAGTCTCATGAGGTCCATTTCTGGTTTTCCTGTCCCTCTGGGGCCTGGTATATATCAGGAAAATTAAGAGAGTCAACTCAGTTCCTAATCACAAAAAGCACAAAGAGAGAAGTGGTTAGAAGTATGGGCCCAGGCTGGGAACGGTGGCTTATGCCTATAATCCCAGCACTTTGGGAGGCCAATGCCGGCGTAGCACTTGAGGTAGGGAATTTGAGACCAGCCTGGACGATATGGTGAAACCCCGTCTCTACTACAAATACAAAAATTAGCCAGGCATGGTGGTGGGCACCAGTAATCCCAGCCACTAGAAAGGCTGAGGCGGGAGAATCACTTGAACCTGGGAAGACGGAGCTTGCAATGAGCTGTAACTGCACCACCACACTCCAGCCTGAAGAACAGAGTGAGACTCCATGTCAAAAAAAGAATAACAGGGGCCGGGCGCGGTGGCACAAGCCTGTAATCCCAGCACTTTGGGAGGCCGAGGCGGGTGGATCACAAGGTCAAGAGATCGAGACCATCCTGGTCAACATGGTGAAACCTCGTCTCTACTAAAAATACAAAAAAGTAGCTGGGCATGGTAGCATATGCCTGTAATCCAAGCTACTCAGGAGGCTGAGGCAGGAGAATTGCCTGAACCCAGGAGGCGGAGGTTGCGGTGAGCCGAGATCGCGCCATTGCACTCCAGCCTGGGTAACAAGAGCGAAACTCTGTCTCAAAAAAAAAAAAAAAAAAAAAAAAAGAATAACAGGTTGGGTGCGGTGGCTCATACCTGTACTCCCAGCACTTTGGGAGGCCAAGGCCAGTGTTAGCACTTGAGGTCAAGAGTTTGAGACCAGTCTGGCCAACATGGTGAAACCCTGTCTCTACTAAAAATACAAAGAAATGAGCTGGGTGTGGTGCTGTGCATATGTAATCCCAGCTATTCAGGAGACTGAGGTAGGAGAATCACTTGAACCCAGGAGACAGAGCTTGCAGTGAGCTGATATAGCACCATTGCCCTCCAGCCTGAGTGACACATCGAGACTGTCTCAGAAAAAAAATAAATAAATAATAACAAACAAAATAAAACATGTGGGCCTGGAGGTTAGAAAGCCTAGGTTCAGGTCAAGCATAGCTCACTGCAGCCTCTCCCTCCTGGGCTCAAGCAATCCATTCCAGCCTGCCGAGTAGCTAGGACTACAGATGCGTGCCACCATGGCTGGCTAATCTTATTTTTTGGCAGAGACAGGGTCTCACTATGTGCCCAGGCTGGTCTTGAACTCCTGGACTCAAGCAATCCTCCCACCTTGACCTCCCAAAGCACTGGAATTATAGGAATAAGCCACCATGCGCAGCCTCAAATATTTTAAAGTTATATTACAAGGTTGCCATTGGAAAGGTCTCTGAAATGATAGCAGATTAAGCAGATTAAAAACTAGGCTCAGCAGGCCAGGATCAGTGGCTCACACCTATAATCCTAGCACTTTGGGAGGCCAAGGTGGGTGGATCATTTGAGGTCAGGAGTTCAAGACCAGCTTGACATGGTGAACCCCATCTCTTAAAAATACAAAAATTAGGCCGGGCGCGGTGGCTCAAGCCTGTAATCCCAGCACTTTGGGAGGCCGAGGTGGGTGGATCACGAGGTCAAGAGATTGAGACCATCCTGGTCAACATAGTGAAACCCTGTCTCTACTAAAAATACAAAAAATTAGCTGGGCATGGTGGCGTGTGCCTGTAATCCCAGCTACTCAGGAGGCTGAGGCAGGAGAATTGCCTAAACCCAGGAGGTGGAGGTTGCGGTGAACCGAGATCACGCCATTGCACTCCAGCCTGGGTAACAAGAGTGAAACTTCGTCTCAAAAAAAAAAAAAAAAAAAAAAAAAAAATACAAAAATTAGCTGGGTGTGGCAGCTCGCACCTGTAATCCCAGCTACTCTGGAGGCTGAGGCAGGAGAATCACTTGAATGTGGGAGACAGAGGTTGCAGAGCCGGAGGTTGCAGTGAGCTGAGACTGGACCACTGTACTCCAGCCTGGATGACAGAGTGAGACTCTGGGTGAAAAAAAAAAAAAAAAAAAACTAGGCCTGGCCAGGGGCTGTGGCTCACATTCGTAATCCCAGCACTTTGGGAAGCCAAGGCGGGCAGATCACCTGAGGTCGGGAGTTCAAGACCAGCCTGACCAACATGGAGAAACCCTGTCTCTACTAAAAATACGAAATTAACCGGGCATGGTGGCATGGGCTTGTAAACCCACCTACTTTCAAGGCTGAGGCAGGAGAATCGCTTGAACCCGGGAGGCGGATGTTGTGGAGGTTGTGGTGCAAGATCACCATTGCACTCCAGCCTAGGCAACAAGAGCGAAACTCTGTCTCAAAAAAAAAAAAAAAAAAAACCTAGGCCCAGCAAGGGGAGAGACTTGCTGGGGTCCTACAGCAGCACAGTGAATGATACTGGCCAGCTTGGGCAGGGCTGGCTTTGAACTCAGGTCCATGTAACCTATGGAAAGACTCCCCTGACCAGCATCTTCATCAAAGTGGTACAGGGGGTCCTTTATCATTCTGTTTCTGGCAAGCCCTGCCACTCCTTCTTACAAGCATGTTTATATAATTTACTTTTTTTTTTTGGAATGGGGTCTTCACGTTGCCCAGGCTGGAATGAAATGGCACAATCATAGCTCACTGTAACTTCCAACTCCTAGGCTCAAATGATCCTCCCACCTTAGCCTCCCAATTGACTGGAACTACTGGCGAACACTACAATGCCTGGCTAATTTTTTGTAGAGATGGAGTTTCCTTATGTTGCCAGACTGGTCTAGCACTCCTGGCCTCAAGCAATCCTCCAGCCTGGGCCTCCCAACATGCTGGGATTGCAGGCATAAGCCTCCATGCCCTGCCTTACGTGCTTTAAGTGCAATACACAGAATTACAAAATATCAATGATATTGAAGTAGATATCCAAATGCTTTAAAAACAAATTTCTGCTATACTAGTATAGATGCTTTTCAATGCATTAAATAATAAGACCCTATCATAATTTCAAAGCAGTAATGAATATGACAGCTTAAGATAACACCTGGTAGATGCCGCACAAACTGGTTTTTTTGAGTCTCACTCTGATGCTCTTGCCTCAGCCTCCTGAGTAGCTGGGATTGCAGGGGTGCACCACCACGCCCGGCTAATTTTTATATTTTTAGTAGAGACAGGGTTTTGCCATGTTGGCCAGGCTGGTCTCAAACTCCTCATCTCAAGTGATCCGCCCTTCTGGGCCTCCCAAAGTGCTGTGGTTACAGGTGTGAGTGACCATGCCCGGCCTTGCACAAACTCTTCTCTGGAACTATCATTTACACTTCCTCTCACTTGAAATTAGGACACACTTTCACGCACTGCTAAGGCTGCTCCAGCAATAGGGAAAAGAAATGCTAAATTTCACATAGAGAAAATAACGGTGTCGTTTTGTTCCTACACAAGTTCATTACCCAACTCTGGTTAAAAATCCCTGAATTAGGCCGTACAATGGCTCATGCCTATAATCCCAGCACTTTGGGAGTCCCAGGCGGGAGGATTGCTTGGGGCTCGGGGCCAGGGATTCGAGACCAGCCTAGGCAGCATAGCAAGGCCCCCAACCCCCAACTACAAAAATTAAAATCACCTAGAAGGGAATGTGGGGGCCCGCTTTTTTGGTACATGTTCCACCTCCCTTTCCGAACTCTTGTACATAAACCCCAGACTTTCCCTTCCTCAACAAAGGCTTGAAGCACAAAAAATAAAAATAAAATAAAAATAAAATTCAAATAATCAGCTAGACGGACTCAGTAGCTCAAGCCTATTGTAATCTCAGCACTTTGGGAGGCTAAAGTGGGTGGATCACCTGAAGTCGAGAGTTTGAGACCAGCCTGACCAACACGGAGAAACTCCGTCTTCACTAAAAGTACAAAATTAGTCAGGCGTGGTGGCAGGTGCCTGTAATCCCAGCTACTCAGGAGGCTGAAGCAGGAGAATCGCTTGAAACTCGGGAGGCGGAGGTTGCAGTGAGCCGAAATTGCCTCATTTCACTCCAGCCTGGGCAACAAGAGCGAAACTCCGTCTCAAAAAAAAAAAAAAAAAAAAAAAAAAAAATTAGCCAAGCGTGGTCGTGCTGCGTCTGTAGTCCCAGCTACTCCGGAGGCTGCGGTTGGGAGGATCGCTTGAGCTTGAGAAGTTGAAGCTGCAGTGAGCTATAACCGCACCACTGTACTCCAGCCTGAGCCACAGGGCGAGAACAGGAAAAATCCTGAATTAGAGACACTTTGCGGGCGTCCTTCCTCGGAGACCCGCTCTTCCTCAGACCCCCATCTGGACCCTCAGGCCAACGCCGAACCCTCTCCACACGGACCTCTGCAGCCTCAGTTTCCCTCCTCTGACACCCTCGGCTCGAATCCCGGCTCGGACACTTCCTGCCGCTGTGGTGTGTCTCTGTCTGGGTCCCGGGGCTCCTGCGAGGATCACACAGGAACTCACTTGAAGTGTCCGGAGCACTGCACTCCGCCGGTGCGCCCGCGTCGCGCCCTGCCAGATCTCCGCAGCGCACCCAACTCTCCCTCCGGTCACCTGCTCCCGGTGCGCAGGCGCAGTCCGCGTCGCCGACTCACGCGTGGGGTTTCGGGTTTCCGGCGAAGCGAGGCCGGCGTTCGGCTGACGGCTAGCCGGGACTAGCGGAGCGGTGGGACTCCGCGCTCGATTGGCCGGTCCTGGACAGGCGCATGGGCCGGCGCGGGCTCCGCGCGCTCCCGGCATCCCTCGGGTGGCGGCGGCGGCGGCGGCGGCGAGACGAAGGAGCGTGTGCGGCTGGGCCGGCGGCTGGGCCGGCGGCGGGTAGAGGCGAGAGGGCGGCAGGAGACCTAGGGGGAACCGGGCCGGTGGGGCCGCCGCCGCCACCATGCAGGAAATCATCGCCAGCGTGGACCACATCAAGTTCGACTTGGAGATCGCGGTAGAGCAGCAGCTCGGGGCGCAGCCGCTGCCCTTCCCGGGCATGGACAGTGAGCGCGGGGCCCAGGAGGGAGGGCGAGAGCGACTCGGACCCGGGACTCCTTCGCCTTGGTCTTGAGACGTCCCCCACCCCCACCCCCGCCTCCTCTGGATCCTGGGACACCTCCCCTTTGGTCCCGGGACTCCTCCCACTAGGTCTTGAGAGTTCCTCCCACCTCCTCCGGGTCCTGCGACCCTTTTCTTTAGTCCCTCCTCTGTGGTCCCGGGACTCTTCCCACTCTATCCTGAGACCTTCTCTTCTGGATCCCGGGACCCTCACCCTTGGTTTTAGGACTCCTGAATCCCAGGCCCCCATTTCCACCGTCTGGGGACCCCTTTCTCCCTCACTTGGACTCAGGAGTTCACTGCCTCGGATTTGGCCTCATGCGGCGGCGGTTCAGAGGTAATCTTTAGGGGGGCAGGAATTTGTTCGTTTAATTCATGAATAAAGGTGGGTTATCCAGGATTGGAACTCTCCCTCAGCATTCTCCCAAATACAGGAGAGTACTAGGGTATCCCACTCCCTGCTTCCCGCCTCCACCCCCACCCTACGTTGAGTGTCTCGTCTTGCTTTCTTTAAAATTGAAGCGTTGGAGGAGGCCTGCTGAGGGAAGGACCACCTCTCTTTAGGAGACCCTAGCTAGACTTTCAAACTGCCCTCTAGGACTCATTCTGCTGGGAGTTCATCCCTAATTTGGGGCCTGTCTCCACTTTTTTTTTGGACCTCAACTCTGAGTTATTTATCACACCCAGCAGCTGTATGGACCCTTGGCCTGAATGAACTTCCTTCACTCCTTCCCTTCGTGTGGTGACCCCTGGCTCGCCACCTGCTACTCGGTGGAATATCTTGTACTTTAAAAGAAGCTAGTCGTTTTCTTTGTGTCTTCTCTTTTTTTTTCTGAGACAAAGTCTCGCTTTTGTCGCCAGGCTGTAGCGCAGTGGTGCGATCTCGGCTCACTGCAACCTCCACCTCCCGGGTTCAAGCAGTTCTCCTGCCTCAGCCTCCCAAGTAGCTGGGACTACAGGCACGCGCCACCATGCCCAGCTAACTTTCGTATTTTTTTAGTAGAGACGGGATTCCACCATGTTGGCCAGGATGGTCTCGATCTCTTAGCCTCGTGATCCACCCGCCTCAGCCTCCCAAAGTGCTGGGATTACAGGTGTGAGCCACCGCACCCGGCCTTCTTTTATATCTGGACATACTTGAAATCTAATGCTATAACCTTAAAATTTGGGGGCTGGTGGAAGTCACTGAGTTCAATCCACAGATGGGAAAATTAAGACCCAGGTGGGGTGGGGGAAGGGACTTGCTGACCACCACCACTCAATGGACGGCAGACCTGGGGTCTCCTACAGAGAGGTGGTCCTCCTCAGCAAGCTCTCCAGTGTTCTGTGCTGTCGCCCACAACTACCAGTGGGGTCTCCCAACTCTCCCAGCATTCTCCCTCTCCTCAGGCAGCCCTGCCTTGTCATGCACATGTGACTTCTAAGTCTGTCCCTTCATGTGGTTTTTTTCTTTTTGTTTGTTTGCTTTTGAGATAGGGGCTCCCTCTGTAAGTGTAAGTGCCTTGGTGGCGCAATCATGGCTCAGTGCAGCCTTGACTTCCCAGGCTCCAGCAATCCTCCCACCTCAGCCTGCCAAGTAGCTGGGACCACAGGCGTGCACCACCATGCCTGACAGGTTTTTTTTGTGTGTATTTTTTGGTAGAGACACTGTTTTGCCATGTTTCCCATGGTTGGTCTTGGACTCCTGAGCTCAAGCAATCCTTTCACCTCGGCCTTCAAAAGTACTGGGATAATAGGCATGAGCCACCACACCTGGCCTAGATATATGTTTTTTTTCGCTGCCTGTCCCACAAATTTACATGGTGACACTTCTGTACAAGATCATTTCACTGGGCAGGGTGAGGTGGCTCACACCTGTAATCTCAGCACTTTGGGAGGCCAAGGCAAGCAGATCACCTGAGGTCAGGAGTTTGAGACCAGCCTGGAAAACATGGTGAAACCCCATCTCTACTAAAAATACAAAAATTAGCTGGGCATGGTGTTGGGCGCCTATAATCCCAGCCATTGGGAGGCTGAGGCAGGAGAATTGTTTGAACCCAGGAGGTGGAGGTTGCAGTAAGTTGAGATTGGGCTATTGCAGTCCAGTCCAGGCAACAAGAGTGAAACCCCATCTCAAAAAAAAAAAAAGTTATTTCTGTGATACTGTACTCCAGCCTTCCTTTCCCACCCACTCTTAACTCCTTGAAAGGATCTTGTATACAGGAGGCTCTGAAAGCACTGGGTAATGACTGCTCTCAATGTATGTCTCATTTCAGGACATGACTAATAAGCAGCTTTCTCCTTGGTTGGGCTTTGCATGTTTTTGCTACTTTATTTCCTGTACCCTGAACCCTTGGTGGGTCAGAGTTCAGAAGGGTTCCCTCCCACTGTCTTCAGACATAATAACAATTGTACTTCTTTGTTTGATTCTTTTCCTTTTCTCTCTGTTGTACAGAGTCGGGGGCTGCTGTCTGTGAATTCTTTTTAAAAGCTGCCTGCGGCAAAGGTAAAAGACTCCAGGCTCCCTGATGTGCCTCCTGAGGTGCCCTCCCACCTCCTTGTCCCCAGCAGACTTGGAGGCCCCCAGGTCTCTGGCTCACATTCCTTTCTATAGACTAATGATGTCTATAGATAAAACTCCGGTTTGGACAGGCTAGGAACCTGATGGGGTGTTCCACTTGAAACCTAAAACACAGGATTGATCCTGGCTTTCAGGCTGCCTTATCACTTCACATTCCCTGGGGCCACAAGCTGGCCTATGACATGGAGAGAAGCCCCCAGCACTGAGACATTCAGGAACTTTCTCCAACTCACAGAGTTAATAGTGTCAGAGCCCAGTGTCTGCACCCAGGCCTTTCTGATTCTACAGTCTCCACAGGCGCATGGTTCTCTGGGCCTCCCATCAAAGCACCCCATGATAACCCATCTTACAGGGTCTTGTTCTCACTAACCAGCCTCCAACGCAGACTACACAAGCTAGTCTCTTTGCTAATCCATTAGAAATATCACTAGGAGCCAGGCCTGGTGGCTCACACCTGTAATCCCAGCACTTTTGGAGGCCAAGGTGGGTGGATCACCTGAGGTCGGGAATTGGAGACCAACCTGGCCAACATGGTGAAACCGTCTCTAGTAAAAGTACAAAAACTAGTTGGGTGTGGTGACGCACGTCTGTAATCCCAGCTACTCCGGAGGCTGAGGCAGGAGAATCACTTGAACCCAGGAGGCGGAGGTGGCAGTGAGCTGAGATTGTGCCACTGCACTCCAGCCTGGGTGACAGAGCGAGACTCCATCTCAAAAAAAAAAAAAAAGTATCACTAGGCACAATCTTAACATTCCACAGTCTGGGCATTTTTCTTGCTGTAGGAAAATTAATTTAGGAGACTTAAATATTAATCAGAAGCTTAAAAAGGGGGAGCAGAGAATCAGAGCAAAGGGCTGCTTTTTGGGTTTTTTGTTTTTGAGACAGAGTTTTGCTCCTGTTGCCCAGGCTGGAGTGCAATGGCATCATCTCGGCTCACCTCAACCTCTACCTCCTGGGTTCAAGCCATTCTCCTGTCCCAGCTTCCTGAGTAGCTGGGATCACAGGCATGTGCCACCACGCCCAGCTAATTTAGTAGAGGCCAGGTTTCAGGCTGGTCTCAAACTCCTGACCTCAGGTGATCCACCCGCCTACACCTCCCAAAGTGCCGGGATTACAGGCATGAGCCACCTCGCCCTGCCCAAAGGGCTGGTTTTAATGAATGGTTTTGGTGAGTTTTGCTTCTGTATTGTAGTCATTTACCACTGAGGTAGTAGAGTTTCTGGAAGATCAACCATGTCAACCTCACACTGTCCAGTCAGAACGTCATTACCTCTCCTGGGCTCCTGGTCTTATTCCCATGTCTTTGCTCAGTAATTCTGCCCTTCTGACCAGCCACCTTCTGTTAGCACAGCCATCCCCAAAACAGGGATGTCTCTCTGTTGACTACTAATATAGTAGCCATTAGCCACATGTGGCAATTCAAATTTAAATTAAATCAAATCACAGTTAAAACTTAAACTCCTCAGACATACTAGTCGTGTTTCAAGTGCTCAGTAGTCACATGAGGCTGGCAGCTGCCATACTGGACAACAGAAGTGTGGAATGGCCTCACTCTGGTTGGACCTCCACAGTGGTCCTGCCAGGCCACTTGTTAGAAGTCCCACACATTCCAAGAGGCTGGCTCTGTCCCATCAGGTCCTCCCACAGACACCTCCCTCAATGTGTACACATCACATTTCCTCAATTCTGATATTGGTCTTTCTGTTTTTTGAGATGGAGTCTTGCTCTGTTGTCCAGGCTGGAGTGCAATGATCTCAGCTTACTACAACTTCTGCCTTCTGGGTTCAAGTAATTCTCCTGCCTAAGCCTCCCAAGTAGTTGGGATTACAGGTGCGCACCAGCACATCTGGCTAATTTTTTGTATTTTTAGTAGAAACGGGGTTTCACCATGTTGGCCAGGCTGGTCTCAAACTCCTGACTTCCCACCTTGACCTCCCAGAAAGCTGGGATTACAGGAATGAGCCATCATGCCTGGCTCCCCAGCTAATTTTTTAATTTTTTTTTTTTTTTTTTTTTTGAGACGGAGTTTCTCTCTTTTTACCCAGGCTGGAGTGCAATGCCGCGATCTCGGCTCACCGCAGCCTCCGCCTCCTGGGTCCAGGCAATTCTCCTGCCTCAGCCTCCCGAGTAGCTGGGATTACATGCACGCCCCACCATTCCCAGCTAATTTTTTGTGTTTTCAGAGACGGAGTTTCACCACGTTGACCAGGATGGTCTCGATCTCTTGACCTTGTGATCCACCCGCCTCGGCCTCCCAAAGTGCTGGGATTACAGGCTTGAGCCACCATGACGGGCCCAATTTTTTAATTTTTAATTTTTCTTTTCTTTTTTGTGTGTGTGTGTGTAAAGACAAGGTTTCACTATCATGCCCAGGCTGATCTTGAACTTTTGGCTCAAGTGATTCTCCTGTCTTGGCCTCCCAAAGTGCTGGGATTATAGGTATGAGCTACTGCACCCAGCCAAGTTCATCTTTCTTAATTCTTGGCAGCCAAGTGGGTACTTTTCACTGGAGACAGAGCCCACCTAGAGTCTGTCGTCTTTATGCTTTAGGATTCCCAAGACCCGTTTTTCTTTCACTGTCTCTCTTAGGATTTCATGTCTGTGTACCACTGGAACTATTATTTAATCAAATTAAGAAATAGTGTCACCTAGACTGGAGTGCAGTGGCATGATCTCAGCTCACTGTATCTTCTGCCTCTTGGGTTCAAGCGATTCTTCTGCCTCAGCCTCCTGAGTAGCTGGGACTACAGGTGCGAGCCACCATTCCTGGCTAATTTTTGTATTTTTAGTAGAAATGGGATTTTACTATATTGGCCAGGCTGATCTCAAACTCCTGACCTCATGTTCCACCCTCCTCGGCCTCCCAACGTCTTCCCACTTTTTATGCCTCCATCTTACAGTTATATCTGTGAGACCAGGAATTACTATTAAAATGTGAAATGGGCCGGATGTGGTGGCTCATGCCTGTAATGTCAGCACTTTGGGAGGCCAAGGTGGGCATATCACGAGGTCAGGAGTTTGAGACCAGCCTGGCCAACATAGTGAAACCCTGTCTCTACTAAAAATACAAAAAATTAGCTGAGCGTGGTGGCAGGCATCTGTAATCCCAGCTACACAGGAGGCTGAGGCAGGAGAATTGCTTGAACCCAGGATGCAGAGGTTGCAGCGAGCCAAGATTGCACCATTGCTCTTCAGCCCAGGTGACGGTTCAAGACTACAAATCGGAATGAATGAATGATAGAATAAAATGTAAAGTGTCTGTCAGCATACTACCTAAAATCATGTTGCCTTTTGTGAGGGGGACCTCTGCCCTCTTCAGGTGATGCCTTTGGGTGGCTCTGGAAGTTAGGAGGTGAAGGTGCATCAGCTTCTCCAGGACCCGTCCCCAGGCTCAGGGTGGCCTCTCTCCTGACACCCTGTCCCCATCTTCCTGGCAGGAGGCATGTGTCCATTTCGCCACATCAGCGGCGAGAAGACAGTTGTGTGCAAACACTGGCTACGAGGCCTATGCAAGAAGGGGGACCAGTGCGAGTTCCTGCATGAGTATGACATGACCAAGATGCCCGAGTGCTACTTCTACTCCAAGTTTGGTAAGGCACCTTGAAACCTGGAGGCTCTGCCCAGAAACAAGGCACAAAGAGGTCTGCTGGCTGCTCAGTACCCCTGTGGTCACTGCCTGCTTTTCCCATCTTTCCAGCCTCGGAGGAGAAACTCAGACAGAGCCTGCCAGCCTCAGCCAGCTTTTAGGGAGACAGCGTGGCTATTCTCTGCTCATTTTTTTTTTTTTTTTAAAGACATAGGGTCTCACTGTGTTTCCCAGACTGGTCTTGAACTCCTGGGCTCAAGTGATCCACCTGCCTTGGCCTCCCAAAGTGCTGGGATTACAGGCATGAGCCACCAGGCCCGGCCCTGTGCATCCCTTTAAAGTGCTTCAGGGTTTTGAGCACTTTCGAGCACGGTGGGACTTGAGGCTAATGAGGGTGACGAGGAAGCAGTGAGTTGTGCATCTGGCTGCATTATGTCCGTGGTGGATTTCTGTCCACGTCCACCTTCTCCCTGAAACCCACTTCTCCCTCCAGCGTGGGCACTGCCTCTCAGGTCCGAGCTGGTTCCTTATCTCTGGGGCCATAATCTTGGTGACATCTCAGCCATTCTAAACAGCCCTTCAGAACAGCAGCCCCAGATGTGTTTTCTGGTAGCAATGGGCTTGCCTTGAGCCCTGCTTAGAGAATCCGTGACCTCAGCTGTCCTGAGTAGCCTGTGTGGAGAAGCAGGGAACTGGGTGGAGTCGGTGGGGCTGGCACAGAGCCTGGCAGAGATGTTGTGCTCCCTGCTGGACTGCATCCCCAGATTCCCTGCTCGGGTCTGCACTTCGAGGTTTCCCAGGAAGCAGCTCTGTGGGTCGGCATGAGGCTGGCTCTGGTCCTGTGCAGGAAACCAGGCAGGAGGCTGGAATCCTGCAGTGAGCCCAGGAGTGCAGGGTATGTTTCGTGCTTTCAAAGCACTGCTGTTGGAGGAGACATTAATTATTTCTGCATCTCAACAGGCATGGCCTGCTGGCTTGTTAAAGAGAGCTGTGGCTTGTTTTGTGGAGGTGGCATAAGCTGAGAAGAAATAGGACCTACTCTGTCATTGTCCTATGTAGCACATTCCCCCCGACCCCTTGCCCATACTAGCACTGGGTTGGGGCGGTGGCCTCCCATCTGGCCCCAGAGGCAGCAGCTGGCTCTCCTGGGTAGGCTCTCAAGGCACCGCTGTACAAGTGGCCTAGGGGTCGCTCCTTCCTTGCTGATAGCCCTGGTGCAGGACGTACTGTCTACAGCTTCTGTCACCTGCACCACAGACATTGGATTGAGGGCCCCCTTTCTAGGCACTGGAGGGACAAAGGTGAAGAGGTCCTTGCCCTGTGAAGCCTTCACTCTTATGGTCCAGGGAAAAAGGTAGCCGATGAGCAAGTGAAGCAAACAGAAGAGAATTGCTTATGACAAGTGCTCTGAAGGAAAGAAACCGTGATCAGAAGCTTCTTGAAGCAGAGTGGCCGAGGATGAGGGGATTCCTGAGCTGGGAGTGGAAGGTTGAGAAGGGGCTGGTCCTGGTGCGGGGGGACCCATGTGGCTGGGGGTGGCAGAGGCTGAGCCTGCGGAGGGGCTTGGGGAAGGCGTTTGCATTGCTCCTGGATTCTGAGCACAGTTTTAATGTGGATTGGAGGTGGTGAGCCTGGAGCTGATGGCTACCCAGGAAGGTGGTTCTCAGTGCTGGTGGTCCCTGGGGCCCACTGCTTCAGAGGGGCAGGTCCGCAAGTGCCTCCCCCTACCCTTGTCCCAGCTCTTAGATGTGAAGAGCCAATCAGAGTGGAAATTCCTGGTCTCAGTGGGTACATTTCTGTCACAGCCCTGGTGTACAGAAAGCTGGGGCTCTGAGACACTCTGCCTTGGGTCTCAGGGCTCATCAGGCCAAAACTGGACACCAGAACCTCTTTTCCTTGGATGAAGCCAAGGTGGGCCTGGCCCTGGCTCTCCCAGTTAGCCTCACATCCAGGTTTCCCTGCAGGAGAGTGCAGCAACAAGGAGTGCCCCTTCCTACACATAGACCCCGAGTCCAAGATCAAGGACTGCCCTTGGTACGACCGCGGCTTCTGCAAGCATGGTAGGTGCCAGGGTGGGCTGAGCCTCTGGCAAGAAGCCAGTCCTGCATTCTCTGCCCACACACTATGGAGGCTGTCAGCTAGTCTACCTGGCACATCTCCCCCTACCCGTCTCAGCAAAACCTGACGTTCTGTAGCTAATGAGGCTTTCTCACACCCCTCATCTCCCTTGAATCTCCTAAGCATGCTGGGTGGGTGGTGGTCCACCTGCATTTTTCATAAGTAGACAAGTGTTGAGAGGTGAAGTCCCTGTCCACTGTCTTCCATGAATGGGGGACAGCCAGCATTTTAAGCCATGCTCCAGCTCTCTGGTAGAGGGGACATCTGAGTGACCAGACGTTTGGCTCTGTAGGTCCCCTGTGCAGGCACCGGCACACACGGAGAGTCATCTGTGTGAATTACCTCGTGGGATTCTGCCCGGAGGGCCCCTCATGTAAATTCATGCAGTGAGTAGCCAGCCACTCTGCCCTCTACCCACGCTTCTGGCCCAGGCCCCGCTGCCCTCTGTATCTTCCCTGGGCCAACTGGGCTTTGGTCACTGGGTGATGTCAGGACCAAGGGTGGGGGCAGGAGATGGGGAAGGTATCCCTGCTATGGCCACCAGTGCTCCCTGACCCCTGAGGTGGCTCTGCCTGGACCAGCAGCTGGCCTTTCTTGGGTAATCTAATGGAAGCTGTGGGACAGAGACACACGTGTAGCCTTGCATATCATTTAGGGAGTTTAGAGACTTCCAGTTAGGAACCTGTGCCCTAAAGGAAAGGAAGGAAACTAGAATTTCAGGGCTTCTTATGTGGAGGCCCAGGAAATCTTGAGCTTAGGGTTTCACGTAGATAAGTAGGCATGTAACAGTGAGGGTGGGAGAGAATGCACCCATTTCACACAGGAGCACACTGAGGCTCAGGGCTGGGTCCCTGGCCAGGGGCACATGGTGGCAGGTGGTGGCATGTGGTCAAAGGTAAGTCTGTGAGCCTCCGAGGACGGGTTTTAATTCTTGCTCCATGGGGTTAGCACCCCTCTTGCAGGTCCATGATCTTGTCCCTGGAGCCCAGTGCCCGTCTGTCACTTTGGTTGTGGACCTGGGCTTCTGTCTGGGGTGGCACTGGGGCTGCAGGAAAGCCTCCTCTCCCCCTGGCCGCCCCACCCACACTGCTCAACCTGCAGCAGGATAACAGTCTCCGGGCCTGTGAGGACGCTGGTCCCTGCTTCTTACTGCAGGGAAGTGGCCGGTGCTGTCACCGGGTCTCACTCCCTGGATGAGAGTGCAGCCACCTGCAGGTGGTCCAGGGATTCCTACTTGTGGGCGGACCGTCACCAAGTGATCGGAGGAGTGGCCGTCACTGGAGTCAGACCCAGCGGGGAAGGGGGCATGTACCAGCACAGCCTTGTCATTTCTGAGTAGCACTGGCCGTGGGTCCCAGCTTGGTGTGGACAGAGCTAGGTCTGAGCCCAGGCAAGCTAGTTCTGTTCTTCCTGCCACTCGCGCGGCCTCCCAGGAGCAGAGCTGAGTGCCAGCCCCACCCCATCCCTGCAGCTTCTGTCGCTTTGTGCTGGGGCAGCTGAGTGTGATTTTCCTGGGGCTGGAATTTAAGAGCATGGTCTGGCTTCTCTCTTCTCATCCCTCACTCCTAACTTCTTCTCTTGTTCTCATCCCCTCCGGCTGCTGGTGACCAGCCCTCGATTTGAACTGCCCATGGGAACCACTGAGCAGCCCCCACTGCCACAGCAGACACAGCCTCCGGCAAAGGTACCGTGCCTGGCCCTCCTTGGCCCGTGTAGGAAGTGCCTTTTCTACAGCAAGAACCTCAGTGCCCCCAGGTGTGCGGTCTGCCCTAGACCTCACTGGAAAACTTGGGAGAGAAGGGGAGTCTCCCAAGTTCCTGCAGAAAAGTTAGGAGCAAAGCCGTGTGTATCTGCCTCGAGAGACAGATGGCCTTTTCACCCTACAACCTCAGTAAGGCCGAGTGCAGCAGCAGACATGGTTCAGGCACCGTGCAACTGGCCGCCTGTTGTGAGATGGGGCTGCCTGGTTCAGCAGTGTCTGCCCCAGGGGCTGGCATGGAAGGTGGCCTGGATACTGGGCACCGCGTCTGCTGCTATTGCTCCTGGGTTAGACTCTTCGTTTTGCAAATACGGAAACTCAGACTCCTAGAGAGAGGGACTTGCCTGAGGTGACACCGCTGGGCAGGAGGAGGTGTGGCAGCAGAACTAACTGACCACTCTGGCCAGCACCACTCCTGCTCTTGTGGAGTGGAGGCTGAAAGAAGGGACCAGGACAGGACTGCAGGCCCAGCTGGCTCCAGTTTTCTAGATGAGGGGCCCCACAGCCAAGCAGCTGGTCTGTCCCTTCAAACACGAGGAGAGAGGGCAATGCCATAGACACATGGGGTCCACAGCAGCCCCTCAACACCAAGGGCACCCTGAGTTTGGTTATGGGAGTCAGGGGTTGGGCCAAGAGGAAGGGCTGGCATCAAGGCAGAGCTAGCATCAGACAGGGTCCCCAACAGGCCCACCAAGCCCACCCACCCCCTGAGCCCAAAGTCTCACCTCCTCCCCTGCTGGGCTCCGGGCTGACCAGCCTTGCTCGGTGCTAGAGGCTGAACAGTCAGGAAAGGATGTAGTTGTGTGGAGGGGCCAATCATATTGAACTCTTGATGGGGAAAGCCGGGAATTCCAGGTGTAGGTGCAGCCGTGCCAACCTGGGGGTTTCCTAGCTCAGGTTCTGCACTTAATGGGCCAGAGCCAGGATCCCACCTGGTCGGGAGGAGGCCCTGCTGTGGAATCGCTACCCCAGAAGCCGCTGCCCTCCTCCTGGCAGGGCTCCCTAGAGGAGGGTCCTCTCAGCCCGAGAACACAGCTCAGCATGTCAGGCTCCAACTGTTTTTCTGTGACTTGCTCGCCATGTAGGCTGCTAAACATCTGGCTGAACCAAGTGTTCATCCTGACCTGAAGCTAGAACCTCAGAAACCAAAGTAAGGCCTGATCATGCACTTGTCCCACTGCCCCAGAGACCTCCTGTTGTCTCTTCGATGTTTTGTTTTCTATTTTATTTTTCGTTTTTGTGTGTCTGCATGGTGTTTTTCGGGCAGTGGCTTCTGCCATCATCACCAGATGTTTCTCTGCTGCCTGCTCTCCTGAGCTGGGCCGTCATGGAAGCCCTCCTTCCTGCCGTTCATGCGGGACAAGTCCCGCCCTCTTTTTTCCTGTCCCCATTGGTAGTCTGCGTGCACGTTTTCCACAGTAAAACCGTGTTGTATAACTCTTTCCAGCAAAGTAACAATCCGCCATTACAAAGGTCGTCCTCCTTGATCCAGTTAACGAGTCAGAACTCTTCTCCCAATCAGCAGAGAACCCCGCAGGTCATCGGGGTCATGCAGAGTCAAAACAGCAGTGCGGGCAACCGGGGACCCCGGCCGCTGGAGCAGGTCACCTGTTACAAGGTGAGTCCTGGGGCTGGGGGACGGGGTGGGGTCTTCCCCGTATGTTTGGCAAAATGAGAAAAATGAAAACATTCATTTTTGCTGATTGTAAGCATAAAGTTATAGTCTAGTTACCATCCACTATGGTGGGCTAGAGACTGTCCTACTTCCCACCACACCGCACGGAGGCCAGGTAAAGGATGGTGAGAACGCCTGCCGAATGAATGGACGGGGCCTGCAGGCAGGTGAGGGAAGCCCCCAAGAGGCTGGAAACAAAACAGAAACACTGATCCAGGGAAGGGAGAGGCCTTGGAGCCGCTGGCTGTCCTGGGGGCATCCTCAGATCCTGCAGGGCACACCAAGGGAACGGGACGCTGGGTTATAGCACCCTGTCCCCGTCCCCTCCCCCAGTACATAAAATGGGACACTCGGGAAGGGTGAGCTTAAAGAAACCTCCTTGAAAACGGTCCTCTTCACCCCTGGCTCTGTGGGGAGGTAGGAAAGGGGAGGGAAATATGTTTTGGTTTTTTTGTCACCCAGGCTGGAGTGCAGTGGCATGATCTTGGCTCACTACAACCTCTGCCTCCCGGGTTCAAGTGATTCTCCTGCCTCAGCCTCCTGAGTAGCTGGGTTATAGGCACCTGCCATCATGCCCAGCTAATTTTTATATTTTTGTACAGACAAGGTTTCACCATGTTGGCCAGGCTGGTCTTGAACTCCTGACCTCAGGTTATCTGCCTGTCTCAGCCCTGCAAAGTGCTGGGATTACATGTGTGAGCCACCGCACTCGGCCAGGGGAGAGAAATCTCTTGATAGTTTTGACGTTGCTCATGGGCCCTTATATGAGTCTTGGCCTGTATTCACATCCTTGGTTAAGGCTGGAAATTTACAAATGTGAGTTTTCTTTTTTTTTTTTTATTTTTATTTTTTTGAGACGGAGTTTCGCTCTTGTTACCCAGGCTGGAGTGCAATGGCGCGATCTCGGCTCACCGCAACCTCCGCCTCCTGGGTTCAGGCAATTCTCCTGCCTCAGCCTCCTGAGTAGCTGGGATTATAGGCAGGCGCCACCATGCCCAGCTAATTTTTTGTATTTTTAGTAGAGACGGGGTTTCACCATGTTGACCAGGTTGGTCTCGATCTCTCGACCTCTTGATCCACCCGCCTCGGCCTCCCAAAGTGCTGGGATTACAGGCTTGAGCCACCGCGCCCGGCCTACAAATGTGAGTTTTCTAATCTAAAATCGCCCCAGGATTGGTGTGCCTCTGGTACTTGGCAGGAGCAACCCCCATTTCTCTGTGAGGAATATGTTCTCAACGCAGGGCACACAGAATTCCTAGGGCTGGAGTTCTGAAGAATTGAGATTAAAAATCACAAAATACGCTGGGTATGGTGGCACATGCCCATAGTCCCGGCTACTGGGGAGGCTGAGGTGGGAGGATTGCTTGGACCCAGGAGGTCAAGCCTGCAGTGAGCTATGACTGCACCACTGCACTCCAGCCTGGGCAACAGAGTGAGACTCTTGTTCAACAACAAAAAAGCATGGAAGGGGGACTGTGTGCAGAGCAGACTTGGCTGTCATCTTGCTGCCCTCCCAGCCTGTTCAGCAGGGCCACCTCTGTGCAAGTGCCCCTAAGTCCTGGAGCCTTATAAAGGTAGGGCTGGGGCCTTAATGCCTCTGTCCACAGCCTTTCAGGCCGGTTAATGTCAGAGACACCTCATGTGGATCCTGGATTCCCCAGGGTCAGCTGTGGGGCCCAGCAGATGTGCCAGATGCTGTGAGTAGGGTATGTGGTCCCTCCTGTGGCCATCATGTTAGCCCTACAGCCTAACAGCAGCTGCTTGGCCCCTCATCCACACACAGTTACACCTGCAGATCAGACAAAGTTGAAAACACAGGGACTGCAGAGCCAGGGAATAGAGGTGGTAAGAGTGCTGGCTGATTGGGCAGAGCCCCTCGGGGCAGCAAGGACTCGAGGGGCTAATGTTAGTACAGAGTCAGTGCCCCCAGCTGCCTCCCGACCCTTCTGTTCAATGCTCAAGGCTGCCGTTTAAGGAGTAACAAGAGTAAAGAGAAGCTACAGCAGGGCCTGAATAATCAGGACTGGGATGAGGCAGGGTCAGAGCTGGATTTGTCAGGTGGCTCTGCAGGGTTCCCTTACGAAAGTCCAAGCATCATTCCCTCTCTCTGATCCTGTGATCAAAACCTGTCCCCAAGGTAGCTTAGACAGGTGTGTCACAGCCACGAGGGAAGTGTCCTAGCCTCCCCTCCCTAGGGGAGCCAGTGCCAGGGACAGCCCACCCTCTGTCCCTGGCACTGGCTCCCCAAGGGAGGGGAGGCTAGGATACTATTCACGTTGTTCCCTCCTGTCTCCTGCCAGGGAACCCCAGACCTTGGCTCAGAGGTAAGTGGCTGGCCAATGGTGCAGAGGGGCTTGGTCCCCAGATGGAGTGGCACTCAGGTGCCACGGGCTTCTCTTTGTCCTGCCATCCACTTGTGAGTCCCTCCCTGGACAGGCCCTGCATCCATGTGGGAGAGGTGTAGGCCTGAAAAAGCTCCCTGCAGGGTGCTAGCAGGCCGTCTTTTGGTGGCCTCATTCTCCCTTACACTTGCTGAGTTGCTGGCTAGTTTCTGCACCACTGCACTTTCCATACTGAGCTTCCTCACCCTCCAATTTGAAAGAAAATGTACCACTGAGAATTTCAGAGTCCTGTCCCAACGGTACTTTGTGGGTGATACGTTAGTTGAAAACTGCATTTGAACAGTGTTATTGTCTGTCTCTCCTCTTCCCCGCCTTCCTGCTGTTCCCAGTGTGGCGAGAAAGGACACTACGCCAACAGATGCACCAAAGGGCACTTGGCCTTTCTCAGTGGACAGTGACAGACAGCAGCTGGAGCCAGCTCTGAGGAGCCCGGGGGCCCCACTGTTGGGAGTGTGCATTTAACTGTTTCATGCGCTTGTTGGCGCAACTGTGGCTTGAGCTGGCCCGCAGGCATGTGGGGTTCATCGCTCTGAGGGGCCACATCTGTTAGTTCCATATCATTTTGCCATACTATTTTTTGAAAAAGGGACATGTGCCCCAGCTGGGTCCCTGCAGTCAACATCATGTTTGGCTAGACATCGATGCCTCCGTTCTGGGACTCCCTAAACACCTGCCTTCATCAGGGGGAGGAAGCTGCTGGGGAGGGGCTTGTGCCAGGTAGTTCTGTGTGGCGATGGTCTTTCCCCTCATTAAACACCAGTTCTTGGTGACCCCGGGGGCTGGCAGGTCATTCAAAGCTGTGGCCAGCCCACACCTGCTTCCTCCGTGCCCTGCTGAATCCTAAAGCTGTGCCTATCAATGTGATTTGAACAAGGGAGCCCTTCGGGGCAAATTCAGGTGCCCCCATTGCCTCAAGCTAGCCATGGTCCCAGGTGGCAGTGGTTGAGGGGTGCAGGGCTCTCAAGTCTGAGGTTCTCTTATCTGGGTTGCTTTTTCTCTTGGGGTACATGCCTGACAGTGTTTAAGGCATCCCTTGAGCTGGAGCTGCAGGCCTTTAAATGGACAACCCCTTCAAATCATCTGTGCCTACCTCCTGCCCATCAAGTGTCTACACTGTCAGACACCTGTGGCATGTGGAACTGCCCTGTCCCTGAGCCTTGAAAATGTGAAACTGTCACCTGCAACCTGCTGGGCAAGTGGGCCTGTCCATGTTCAACTGCAAGAACAATTTTTAAGAAATTGATTAAAGTGCGGGAGGGTGCAGGTAAAAAAAAAATTGATTAAAGCTTGTTTTTTAAGCCACGTCTCATTACTTAAGGGTCTCATGCCAAGCCTCTCGTGCCAGCTGCAGTCACAGCCTGGTTTTCTTATCCCTTCCAACAAATGTCAGTCTCATACAGGAAGTGCTGCTGCCTAGAAGGCCTTTTGTACAGACAGCTTGTCAGGTCTGGGAGTCTGACCTGTGGAACCAGCAGGCAGGTCCTCCACCTCAGCTCAGATGTCAGGTGGCACCTATTCCTGGGGCACAGCATCTCACCCCCAATGAGGTTCTGATGAAGGGGTACAAAGGAGGAGTCGCCATAGACCCTCACCTCTCCCTCATCCCCATCCCACTAAGCCGCCTGCTAGAGAAGCCTCAGCCGAGGGCCACATTCTGCAACATGTGTATCGGGACTGCCTGAGGTGTCTCCACAGTGCTGGGTCACCACCCTGTAGCCCTTAATGCCCCAGGGTGATGCAGAAATGATGAGAAGACATTTGGGCCATCTAAAAATCCCCTGCCTAGAACCACAAGACAGGGTGGGGTCTGGCATTCTTAGGAATGCAGGACTTTTGTGTTATACCATAAAGGGCCAACTGTTATACCAGTCGACTAAAGGCCAGAGTCTACCAATGCATCTACCCACAGGACAGACTTCAGCATTGTTGATGTGGGAAAGTATGGATGACACCCTGCCCCTAGGGCACTGGGACACAATCTGAGTGGTAGTCTGGGGAGTCCACAAAGGCCTTCACGGTAAACGCCCTGTAAAGACAATCTCCTCTACCTTGTGCCACAGGAGCCCTTGGAGCATGGGGCAATGGCAATGGCAGGCAGCACACATACCAGTCATCTTTTATTTGGAGGTTAATTCCATTAGGATATGAACAGATTCAGCAATAATCGAGACTGTGTTCCTTATGGAAGGGCTCAAGCCAAGAAGGTCATGGACGGGAGTGCAGAGCTTGTCTTCAGTGGTACTTCCGTAGCCGCTCGTGCTCTGAAGTCAGAAAGGCAAGATGGTGAGCATCTTAAAAGGTTACAGTGAAGGCACAGGATGACAGGGATGAGAATAGCAGGCTGAGATCACACAAAGCCTGCCTTAGAATTCCCTTCAGAGATGACCCAGGTCCTGTCTGCCGGTGTCTCTGCAGAATCTGCAGACCCAGGAGCACAAAGACACCGCAGGAGCCAACCTGCCACCTGGCCAGCCACTTTCTTTCCACAGGGAACACCTCAGACAAACAACCCCACAGAACCCGTCCTTCAGAGGCAGCACCGCCCTGGTGCAGCAGAATAGGAGTGAGATAGGGATGGGGGAGGGGTACACTGTCACCAACAGCCTAGTCAGAGGCCACCACTGATACTTTCCACCAGTCTCCCACCAGACAAGCTCCTCTTGAGGCTCAAAGCCAGAATAGCCATGGTTTTCTGGGATGCTAGATTATACCATGCAACTCATTTCTCTTTCCGCATTGGCTACTAGGAAGACCAAGCCAAATTTTCACAGAGCCTGCTGTATTTTAAAGAATGCTTCAAGCCGGGCGCGGTGGCTCAAGCCTGTAATCCCAGCACTTTGGGAGGCTGAGGCGGGTGGATCACAAGGTCAGGAGATCGAGACCATCCTGGTCAACACGGTGAAACCCCGTCTCTACTTAAAATACAAAAAATTAGCTGGGCATGGTGGCGCATGCCTGTAATCCCAGCTACTCAGGAGGTTGAGGCAGGAGAATTGCCTGAACCCAGGAGGTGGAGGTTGCGGTGAGCCGAGATCGTGCCATTGCACTCCAGCCTGGGTAACAAGAGTGAAATTCCGTCTCAAAAAAAAAAAAAAAAAAAAAAAAAAAAAAAAAAAAAAAAAAAGAATGCTTCAAAGTATTTTCTTTACCGTGGCTTCATCTTGTTTTTCCTGTGTTCTCTGTCACAGTTTTCGCACTTCAAACACTATATACTGTACTCTGCTACGTCCCTCCAATTCTTTTAGGTGGAAATGTAAGTAAGGAACTTAATAAAGGCCCCTCAGCCTCGGAAGAAGGTGAACTGCTTTATCTAACGAAATACGTCACCACCACCCTCTCGTGGTAAACTGAAGGCAAGACGCCCCAGAGATACTCACTGAGCTCCTTGTAGGAAATGGTGTAGTTGAAGACTATGTAGCATGCCAGCACCATGGTAAGTCCCGCAATGCTCCCCTTCTTCACGTTGATATATTTGTTATAGTACCGGTAGTAACCTGCAAATGCAAGAGGCGCTCACTGCCCTGCTGGGCCTCACAACTTAGTGAAATTGAGTGCACAGTTGAGTCTAGCTAGCCTTCAGGTACCCTGTCATGCTCTGGCTGTTTAAGCCCCTCGCCCTGCATTTTCGCTGATAAAGGCAAAAAGCACCAATGCCATTAGGGTCTCTGATCACCATAGCCTGAACTATAAGCACATAACAGCTCCTGAACTAGGCCCACCTGGATCCCTCCTCTCTCCTTTGGCCTTTATCTGGTAACCTCCTGAGTAGCTGGGACTACAGGCATGTACCACCACACCCGGCTAATTTTTCTTTGTGTTTTTTATAGAGATGGGGGTCTCTCCATATTGCCTAGGCTGGTCTCAAATTCAGCTCAAGCGATCCTCCCCTCTCAGCCTCCTGAAGTGTTGGGATTACAGGCATGAGTCACCGAACCTGGCCAAGAAAGGCCATTTCAAATATTTGTCCTAGAAGTTCTGGCAGGGAGGCGAGCATCATACTATAGACTAATGCTCACTATAGTTCCAACTCATTTTCCTCTTTAAGAAGTTTTAGAATTTCTTTTTAAGACAGAGGCAGACGTACTGATTGCAGCAACAGAAAACATTTTCTTGGCTGCAGTGTCTCAGAACCAGCCTTTGAAAGGTCCAGTCAACCATGGAGGTCCAAGGCCTAGCCACCCCTCCCCTCCTCTACATAACTTACTGCTCTCAGACAACAAGGCCTTCATCGCCCAAATTAATTCATGGCAAAAAGAGACCTTAAGACTCAGATACTTGCGTTCATTTACACACATCACAAGACACTGACCTCTTTGAAACGCTCCGACAATGCCACTAGGGCTGAAGTCCCGCATCAAGATCCAGCTTGGCAGCTCTCCTAGTTTGACCTCCAGAAGTTTCCTGTCCTTCAGTGGTACTGAAAGGGAAGAGTGAGAAAAAACACCCACTGAATAATCTCCCAATAACATAAATGGCATCCTTTCGTGTCACTATTTCAACTAGGCAATAAAGGTGCGTAATGTAATTACACAGAGGCTGCACTTAAATAATATTACGAATACATCACATCAAGCCCACTATTTTAAGTCTGAGTCTGTGTAATAGCAAAACTGCTGCAGGGACAACTTTATTAAACAACAGAACATCTGAGTAACAGCTTGCTGGGAATAACTACAGAAAAGGGTCTCAAAGAAAGCAGTGAAGTGGAGGACAGGAAAGATTACTGCAAAGCTATCATTTACTTGACATTATTAGATTATTTCATCTTCAAAACAAGCAGTTCATGCCTATACCTTACAGGAGGGGTCAGGGAATAGACTCAGAAAGGTTGGGGAACGTGGCCAAACTCACACATACAGCATGAGGGCAGGACTGGCCCCATGTCCCTGGAGCCAATGTGAGGGTGGCTTATCCAACCCTGGGGACCTATGCTTGGAGAACGTACAAGAGGGGATGTGGAAGGAGAATGGTGTGACAGTGCCCTCAAGAGTCTCGCTCAGAATGGACGCACTTGTTTACTGGGGAAGGGCCTCAGAGAGCGCCTGGATTCACACAGCTGCCAGCCTCCCCAAAGGGGCCAGAATGAGCAAGTTCAATGAAAGAAACCCAAGGAATCTCCACCTCCAGCATCCTGGGACCACAGAGACCAACAATTTCCAAAGATAAAAATTAGAGATAACATATTCTGGGAAGTCAAATTACTTAGGAAAAGCACTCCAAATGACTGAATGGACCCAGACCATATTCCAAAGGGAGTCTGTGAACAAGGAATCGGAAGGATTCCTGGCTGAGGCTGCACTGTCCTCACATCTGGGCCCAGGAGGAGACTATGGAGGGCCAGGGAGTGGTTGGGCCTGTGGGCTCAGGAGGAGACTACGGAGGGCCAGGGAGTGGTTGGGCCTGTAGGCGGTCTAGGAGATGCACCTAAGAGAGGAATGATCTCCCCTGCTCTCCCTGCAAAGATTATTTTATTTTATTTGAGACCGAATCTCACTCTGTGGTCCAGGATGGAGTGCAGTGGTACGATCCGGGCTCACTGCAACCTCCGCCTCCTGGGTTCAAGCAATTCTCTGCCTCAGCCTCCCGAGTAGCTGGGACTACAGGCACGTAGCACCACACCCGGCTAATTTTTGTATTTTTAGTAGAGATGGGGTTTCACCATCTTGGCCAGGCTGGTCTTGAACTCCTAACCTGGTGATCCACCCACCTCGGCCTCCCAAAGTGCTGGGATTACAGGCGTGAGCCACCATGCCCGGCCTGAGACAGAGTTTCACTATGTTGGCCAGACTGGTCTTGAACTTCTGACGTTGTGATCCACCCACCTTGGCCTCCCAAAGTGCTGGGATTATAGGCGTGAGCCACCACACCTGGCCAAGATCAGTTTTAAAAACCTTTTAGCAGGTGTCCTATTGAGGGCAAAGAGTCAAGGACCACTGTGCCTTCTCAAAGATAACAAGAGGAGCCAGATTAAAACATTCCAAGGTTTTGTCTCCATTTTGGGATCAAAGGAAAGACTAAGGCTCTGTCAGGATCAGCCTTGAGAGTACACTGGTGGAGGCCGGCTGCTGTGACTCACACATGTAATCCCAGCACTTTGGGAGGCCAAGGTGGGCAGATCACCTGAGGTCAGGAGTTTGAGACCAGCCTGTCCAACATGATAAAACTGCACCATGAGATCACGCCACTGCACCTGCCCAGGGTGGAATGCAGTGGTGCAATCTCGGCTCACTGCAACCTCCACCTCCAGGATTCAAGCCATTCTCCTGCCTTAGCCTCCTGAGTAGCTGGGACTACAGGTGCCAATTTTCGAATTTTTAGTAGAGATAGGATTTCACCATGTTGGCTGGGCTGGTCTCAAACTCCTGACCTCAGGCAATTTGCCTGCCTTAACCTCCCAAAGTACTGGGATTACAGGCATGAGCCACCTTGCCAGGCCAGAAAAGTAACTTCTTTTTTTTTTTTTTTTTTTTTTTTTGAGACGGAGTTTCGCTCTTGTTACCCAGGCTGGAGTGCAATGGCGCGATCTTGGCTCACCGCCACCTCCACCTCCTGGGTTCAGGCAATTCTCCTGCCTCAGCCTCCTGAGTAGCTGGGATTACAGGCACGCACCACCATGCCCAGCTAATTTTTTGTATTTTTAGTAGAGACAGGGTTTCACCATGTTGACCAGGATGGTCTCGATCTCTTGACCTTGTGATCCACCCGCCTCGGCCTCCCAAAGTGCTGGGATTACAGGCTTGAGCCACCGCGCCCGGCCGAAAAGTAACTTCTTTTTTTTTTTTTTTTTTTTTTTTTTGAGACGGAGTTTCGCTCTTGTTACCCAGGCTGGAGTGCAATGGCGCGATCTCGGCTCACCGCAACCTCCGCCTCCTGGGTTCAGGCAATTCTCCTGCCTCAGCCTCCTGAGTAGCTGGGATTGCAGGCACGCACCACCATGCCCAGCTACTTTTTTGTATTTGTAGTAGAGACGGGGTTTCACCATGTTGACCAGGATGGTCTCGATCTCTCGACCTCGTGATCCACCCGTCTCGGCCTCCCAAAGTGCTGGGATTACAGGCTTGAGCCACCGCGCCCGGCCGAAAAGTAACTTCTTGATCTAGTGAAGCCATATTTTTCCACATTCACACAAACTATGCAGACATATTCCGCATCTCATGACCATGTTCAGGGGCTGGCATGGTGCCTGGCACATCACAGGAGGAAAAAAGCAAACAATTTACAACTTGTTTTTCTCCCTACTTCTATCTCTGTATTATGAAGACAAGAGTGTTTCCTTAAAACTAACACATTTACAAGCACAGAAAAACACACACTGTCCTTAAGGATAGCCAAGTTCAGCAATATCACAAAACTCCAAGGGACCACCCAGTTCATCAAAGATCCATCTATACTTAATCCACAAATTTATCTTAAAGGAAGGCAGAGGAAGGCCTCAGTCCTTGGTTGCCCCACCGGAGCTCCCACCCTCACCCTACAAACACACCCACTCCTCTGCAGCACTGAAGCTTCCACCTGCAATCACTGGCTCACGAAAAGAGACCGAGTAGAGTTCAGACACAGAGCAGACCCTTGGGTCAAGTTTCTGGGTTTAGTGCCACTTTGTAGGTGTGTGCTCTTGGGCAATGTACTACTCCTTCTCAGTTTCCTCCTTTGTAAAATCCTTGGTATTTAGCCCTAGGTACTATGTAAGTGAGAACTATTACTACCTTTCTGCCTGATTATGAGCTACCTGAAGGTAGAAACATCCCCACCACTTCTTGGCACATGACAGACTCTCAGTAATGGTTGTGGAACAACCACAGATCCTTGAGAGGAAGCATATTCTTCATTACTATGAAGCCACGTGGAAATGGCAAGTCTCTCCTGAGTGCTAAATCTAACCTAGGGTTTGTCCAGAGAATAAAGATTTCAGGCTTTGCAGGCCACATAAGGTCTCCATAGCATAGTCTATCTTTTTTTTTTTTTTTCTTTGAGATGGAGTTTTCCTCTTGTTACCCAGGCTGGAGTGCAATGGCACCATCTTGGCTCACCACAACCTCCACCTCCTGGGTTCAGGCAATTCTCCTGACTCAGCCTCCTGAGTAGCTGGGATTACAGGCACACGCCACCATGCCCAGCTAATTTTTTATATTTTTAGTAGAGACGGGGTTTCACCATGTTGACCAGGACAGGACGGTCTCGATCTCTTGACCTTGTGATCCACCCACCTTGGCCTCCCAAAGTGCTGGGAATAAAAGGCTTGAGCCACCGCGTCCAGCTAGTCTATCTTTTTCTAAAACAATCTTTTTAAAAACAGAAAACCAGCCCAATGCAGTGGCTCACACCTGTAATCCCAGCACTTTGGGAGACCGAGATGGGAGGATGGCTTGAGGCCAGGAGTTTGAGAATCCATCTCTAAAATAAATAAATAAAATAAAATATAAAATAAAATAATCATTCTGGGCCCAGCGCGGTGGCTCTCGCCTGTAATCCCAGGACTTTGGGAGGCTGAGGCGGGTAGATCACCTGAGGTCAGGAGTTTGACACCAGCCTGGCCAACATGGTGAAATTCCTTCCCTACTAAAAATACAAAAAGCCAGGCATGGTGGCAGGGGTGCCTAAAATCTAAGCTACTCAGGAGGCTGAAACAGGAGAATTCCTTGAACCTGGGAGGCAGAGGCTGCAGTGAACCAAGATTGTGTCACTGCACTCCAGCCTAGGCAATGCAACGAGAATTCATCTCAAAAAAAAAAAAAAAAAAAAAAGGCCGGGCGCAGTGGCTCAGACCTATAATCCCAGCACTTTCAGAGACTGAGGCGGGCTGTAAGGTCAGGAGTTCAAGACCAGCCTGACCAATATGGTGAAACATCATCTCTACCAAAAATACAAAAAGAAAATTAGCCAGGCATGGTGGCGCATGCCTGTAATCCCAGCTACTCAGGAGGCTGAGGCAGGAGAATTACTTGAACCCGGGAGGCAGAGGTTGCAGTGAGCTGAGATCCTGCCACTGCACTGCAGCCTGGGCACAGAGCAAGATTCCGCCTAAAAAAAAAAAAAAAAACCCACAAAACACAGAACCAACAACAACAACCAAAAAAACATTCTGAGCTCATGGCCAGACAAAAGCAGGCCACAGGAATTCCAACTCACTGGCCTCAGTTTGCCAACCCCTGATCTTATCTACTGCTGATAATTCCTATTTCCCTCACTTTATTTGCTCATGAAATACTGTCTTTGTACTGTGGTGACAGACACCACCTAAAAGATCACCAATACTTAAGAGACATGGACTCCAATTTCTTCACCTGGGGTGATGCTGAATAGGCCAGGCATGTGACATGACCCTGCATAAAGGTCACAAAGTAAAGGCTGGGATGACCAGCTCATACCAACTGAGTACTTACGGTGGGCCAGGCAGTGTTCCAAGTGTCTTTCATGTACTACTAAATCGATTAATACTTAGTCCAGAGCTCTTCACTACAGCCCAATGTTTAGACAAAATCTCAAGCCCTAATGCTCGCTTTTCACAGGTTGCCTCCTTAACACAACTACCGTGGATGATGAATATTCTTATGCCAATTTTACTAAGGGGAAAACAGCCTCCTTCTCATCTTTTCTGATCCCCTCTACATTTCTCCAGGCTGAGATTAAGAATACAGAGCCCAGGTGCAGTGGCTCACGACTGTAATCCCAGCATTTTGGGAGGCCAAGTCAAGTGAATCACTTGAGATCAGGAGTTTGAGACCAGCCTGGCCAATGTAGCAAAACTCCATCTCTACTAAAAATACAAAGTATTAGTCAGCATGGTAATTGTGTGCCTATAATCCCAGATACTCGGGAGGCTGAGGCAGGAAACTAGCTTGAACTCGGGAGGTGGAGGTTGCAGTGAACTAAGATCATGCCACTGCACTCCAGCCTGGGTGACAGAGCTAGACTCTGTCTCAAAAAAAAAAAAAAAAAAAGCCGGGCACGGTGGCTCAAGCCTGTAATGCCAGCACTTTGGGAGGCCGAGGCGGGTGGATCACGAGGTCGAGAGATCGAGACCATCCTGGTCAACACGGTGAAACCCCGTCTCTACTAAAAATACAAAAAATTAGCTGGGCATGGTGGCACGTGCCTGTAATCCCAGTTACTCAGGAGGCTGAGGCAGGAGAATTGCTTGAACCCAGGAGGTGGAGGTTGCGGTGAGCCAAGATCGCGACATTGCACTCCAGCCTGGGTAACAAGAGCGAAACTCTGTCTCAAAAAAAAAAAAGAATACAGAAACTGGGCTGGGTGGGCACGGTGGCTCACACCTATAATCCCAGCACTTTGGGAGGTCAAAGTGGGCAGATCACTTGAGGTCAGGGGTTCGAGACCAGCCTGGCCAACATGGCGAAACCCTGTCTCCACTAAAAATACAAAAATTAGCAGAGCATGGTGGCTGGCACCTGTCATCCCAGCTACTCCGGAGGCTGAGGCTGGAGAATTGCTTGAACCTAGGAGGCCAAGGATGCAGTAAGTGAGATCACACCATTGCACTCCAGCCTGGGCGACAACAGCAAAATTCCATCTCAAAAAAAAAAAAAAAAAAAAAAAGAACACAGAAACTGGGGTAAGACATACATGCGTTAACCCAAGTCTGCCACCATCAGGCTGTGAGACCTGAAAGGCCACACCACATCCCAAACCATTATTTTCCTCATCTGTAAAAAGGGATTGACTTTCCCAAGCAAGGATTCGCTTACAAGGCTACCATGGAGCAACCAGAACTAAAAACATGGTTTAGCCCTATTCAAAAACAAACAAAAATCATCAGTGCGCACAGGTGGATGACTGCGGCGATTTACACATGTGTGTCACTGAAAAGCCTGATGGTCATAAGGCCGTCCTAGAGAATAAGCTCATTTACCACGAAGCCTCAGGTCTGAATACCAGCTCAGCTCTCTCACGAGTTGTGACCTTGAACAGGTCACCTCACCTCTCTGAGCCTATTCAACAAATACGCATCGAACCTTACATGGTATTAGGCACTGCCCTAGTCCTGAGCTCTTCCTGGAGCTTCATCTGAGCATCAGCTTTGGAAAGAAGAAGAGCAGAAGCTGCGCATAGCATTCAAGTTTAAAGCGCCTGGGAGGCAGCGGAAGAGGCAAGCGGTTACTTCCTTGCGGAAAAAGGGGCAGTGGCCCAAGGCGGCGCATTCCCAGGCCCGGAATTGCGTGCCCCGGGCAGCAGGAAAAAGCGAGGCTGGACGGGCGCAGAGGGGTGGGCAGCGGAGGACCCTAACTTAAAGGTCTAGCGCGCCTTGAGGTCGCGGCGAAGTCCCTGAGCGAAGGGCAGGCAGCTCCGCAGCTTCCTCCTCTCCCAGTGCGGCTATGGACCCTGGACCCTGGCTCCTGTTCCCACCGCGGCGTCCAAACAGCTCTACCCGACGCCAGACACTCACCGACTGACGCCATCTTGGAGTACTGGTGTCCGCTGCGCCCGGCCGCGCGAGGACTGCTGGGTAGGGAACGCACGCCCCATCTGGGAGCGGAGAGCAGAGGCTCACGGGAAGCCAGTCACAACTGCGAAGACTCTTGGGCTGCTTACTAGAGGGCCAGGAAGCGAAGGGAGAGGTTTCTGCAAAGTAAAAAATTGAGGGTCCTGCAGGTAGAGGGAGAGAGCGCCTCAGCCTGGGCTCCCTGCTTAAAAGGTGGGAAGAGGCCGTGCTGGGACTACAGGCGTGCAGGAACACGCCAGGCTAATTTTTGTATTTTTAGTAGAGACAGGGCTTCACCATGTTGGCCAGGCTGGTCTCGAACTCCTGGCCTCAAGTGGTCTGCCTGCCTTGGCCTCCCAAAGGATTGCAGCTGTGAGCCACCGCGCCCAGCCTATTTATTTATTTATTTTATTTTAATTTTTTTAGAGTCTCACTCTGTCGCCAGGTGCCGGGCACGATCTCGGCTCACTGCAACCTCCGCTTCCGGGATTCAAGCAATTCTCCTGCTTCAGCCTCCCGGGTAGCTGAGACTACAGGCGCGCGCCACCACGCCCAGCTAACTTTTTTTGTATTTTTAGTAGAGACGGGGTTTCACCATGTTGGCCATGATGGTTTCAATCTCTTGACCTCGTGATCCGCCCACCTCGGCGTCCCAAAGTGCTGGGATTACAGGTTTGAGCCACCGCGCCCGGCCTTATTTATTTATTACTTTTCAGACAGAGCCTCACTCTGTCACCCAGACTGTAGTGCAGTGGCATCATCTGAGCTCACTGCAACCTCTGCCTCCAGGGTTCAAGAGAACCTTCCACCTCGGCCTCCTTAGTAGCTGAGACTACAAACACGAACCACCATGCCTGGCTCAGTTTTGTATTTTTAGTAGAAACGGGGTTTCCTCATGTCGGCCAAGCTGGTCTCGAACTCCTAACTTCAAATGATCCACCCACCTTGGCCTCCCAAAGTACTGGCATTACAGGGTTGAGCCACCACGCCCGGCCTCATGATCTCTATTTTAACATTAATGCTGGTCAGTTGTTGTGTCTAAACCACAAAAGGGAGGATATATGAGCCACGTCCAACTTAAACTCCAGTCATGGCCAGGAACTCAGTTTCTTTTTTTCTTTTTTGAGACGGAGTCTCTCTCTGTCGCCAGGATGGAGTGCAGTGGTGCAATCTCGGCTCACTCCAGCCTGGGTGACAAGGTGATCCCCTTCTCCACGCCCGCACCGGACAGTCGTAGGGATGCAGGAGCCGACGGAGTCCAGAATCCGTACACTGGGAGCCTGGGCTGTGATTGTATACATATAAATGCCGAGGTTTTAGTTAATGAACTGGGGTTGTTTCGGGGAAGGTGGAGATGGATTGGAGGGAACAGGAGCAGATAATTCCAGATACACTTTTTTAAAAAAAATTTTTATCTGGCCGGGCGCGGTGGCTCAAGCTTGTAATCCCAGCACTTTGGGAGGCCGAGGCGGGTGGATCACGAGGTCGAGAGATCGAGACCATCCTGGTCAACATGGTGAAACCCCGTCTCTACTAAAAATACAAAAAATGAGCTGGGCATGGTGGCACGTGCCTGTAATCCCAGCTACTCAGGAGGCTGAGGCAGGAGAATTGCCTGAACCCAGGAGGCGGAGGTTGCGGTGAGCCGAGATCGCGCCATTGCACTCCAGCCTGGGTAACAAGAGCGAAACTCCGTCTCAAAAAAAAAAAAAAAAAAAAAAAAAAAAAAAAAAAAATTTATCTAAGAGAGTCCTGCTCTGTCTCCCAGGCTGGAGTGTGGAGTGCAATGGCGAGATCTCAGCATTGCAACCTCCGCCTCCCGGGTTCGAGTGATTCTCCTGCCTCAGCCTCCCGAGTAACTGGGATTTCAGGTGCCCGCCACGATGCCCGGCTAATTTTTGTATTTTTAGTAGAGACGGGGCTTTACCATGTTCGACAGGCTAGTCTCGAACTCTTGACCTTAGGTGATCCTCCTGCCTCGGCCACCCAAAGTGCTGGGAGTACAGGTGTGAGCTACTGCGCTGGCCTGAACATAGTACTCTTCCATTGATCTGGCCCTGGTAAAAATTTTCTTAGTAATAGCTATGCAGAGAGCTGGAGAAAAGAGAATCCAAATCCCTGACAACCCCGGCCCAGCCTTCCCAGCTAAGCTGCGTTTTTGTTTTCGCATTTTCGTGGCTTACCAAAAGTTTCTCCTTAGGAGACTCCATAGCCCGAGGGAGGTGAATTTTTCCTGACAAAGAGGATTATTCCTGAACCCCTTGGTGACATCTGCTTCTGTCCTGCTTTGTTTACTTTTACACTTCCCTCTGAATAGCTGCATTACAAAAGGGAAAAAGAACTACTAGTTAATCCCAAACCAAAATAAAGGAGAGAAAAGGACTGGTTGCTACACTGGACAACTGCTGAAATAAGGTTCATCTAAAGCACAAAAATCTGGGAGTTTCCCCACACCTCATGGTGCAATGGTAGCGCATCTGACTCCAGATCAGAAGGTTGCATGTTCAAATCACGTCGGAGTCAAACATGTTGGCTGTTCTTCTCTTTAGCCACCAGGAGTTATAGAGACTTGCTGCTGACTCAGCCATGGACAACTATATTTTCAGTTCTTAGCAAAAAGAACCTAAAGATTTCTTTTTGTGAGGGCCTCAGCAGTGGATGGGCACCTTAGCTAAAGTGTGAGGAAAAATTCAGAGCCAAAACTCAGGTCGTGCTGTTCACATCTGTAGCAGGATTTATCAGAACAGTGCTTCAGATAGCACAATTACAGGACTTCAGATAGGACCTTAAAACAGTGCTGGAGTACTTTGGAGGCTGAGGTAGGCAGATCATTTGAGCCCAGGCTCTTGTTTGTAGTCTCAGCTACTAGGGAGGCTGAGGTGGAAGGTTCTCTTGAACTCTGGAGGCAGTTGCAGTGAGCTCAGATGGTCCTGTAGTCCCAGCTGCTGCTTAGGAGGCTGAGGCGGGAGGATCCCTTGAGCCCAGGAGGTTGAGGCTGCAGTGAGCTATGATTACGCCACTGCACTCCAGCCTGGGTGACAAGGTGAGACACAATCTCTAAATGAATAAATAAATAAAATGGTTCAGAGCTAAGGGAATTGTGGCCTTCCCAATCCAGCGTTGGTGGTGCAGCCAGTTCTCCAGCATTTGAGGTTCCAGTGCCACTACGACACAGCTTTATTCAGAAGGAACAAGGAGGAGCAAGGAGCAGTTTCCTCTGAGACCAGACTGAGAGTCTCCTACTGATCAGCAGTCACCAAAGGAAATTCCACCCACCCAGCAAATGTGGGAGAGGAGCAAAAGATTCAAGGAAAGGCTTGAAGTCAGCTGTCTTCCCCGAGCGCACCTTTGGGAGCCTCCTGCGCTCTTCTTAGCTGGGGCCGATCTCACTTGGAAGACACAAAAGCAATCGGCCCAAGGACTGCGCTGGCCTGACCTGTCATCCGGCTCTCCTCACGTTCCTATTGGAACGACCTGCTGGACTGAGTTCCTTGTCCTCTGCCTAGGGGCAGCCAGGCCTGACCTCACTACCTTCCCTTCCGAAGTATCTGGGATGATAGGTGCATGCCACCATGCCCAGCTAATTTTTGTATTTTTAGTAGAGGCAGGGTTTCACCATGTAGGCCAGGCTGGTCTCAAACTCCTGACCTCAGTTGATCCACCCACCTCAGCCTCCCAAATGTCTGGAAACTGGAGCACTGACTGTTCCCCCATTTTATGTTAAAGCAAACAGGAGCTGGGTGTGGTGGCTTATGCCTGTAATCCCAGAACTTTGGGAGGCTGAGATGGGAGGAACGCTTGAGCCCAAGAGACCAAGACCAGCCTGGGCAACATAGCAAGACCCCATCTCTCTCTTTTTTTTTTTTTTGAGACGGAATTTCGCTCTTGTTACCCAGGCTGGAGTGCAATGGCGCGATCTCGGCTCACCGCAACCTCTACCTCCTGGGCTCAGGCAATTCTCCTGCCTCAGCCTCCTAAGTAGCTGGGATTACAGACGCCACCACGCCCAGCTAGTTTTTTGTATTTTTAGTAGAGACAGGGTTTCACCATGTTGACCAGGATGGTCTCGATCTCTCGACCTCGTGATCCACCCACCTCGGCCTCCCAAAGTGCTGGAATTACAGGCTTGAGCCACCACGCCCGGCCCCCCATCTCTTTTATTTCTATTTTATTTTATTTATTTGTTTTTCAGATGGAATCTTGCTCTATTGTCCAGGCTGGAGTGCAGTGCACGATCTTGGCTCACTGCAACCTCTGCCTCCCGGGTTCAAGCAATTCTACTGCCTCAGCTTCCGAAGTATCTGGGATGACAGGTGCATGCCACCATGCCCAGCTAATTTTTGTATTTTTAGTAGAGGCGGGGTTTCACCATGTAGGCCAGGCTGGTCTCAAACTCCTGACCTCAGTTGATCCACCCACCTCAGCCTCCCAAAGTGCTGGGATTACAGGCATGAGCCACTGTGCCCAGCCAACATATGTATGTTTATTGCAACACTATTTACAATAGCAAAGATATGGAACCAACCCAAATGCCCATTAATGGTAGACTGGGTAAAGAAAATGTGGTACATATACACCATGGAATACTATGCAGTCATAAAAAGGAATGAGATAATGTCCTTTGCAGAGACATGGATGAAGCTGGAAGCCATCATCCTCAGCAAATTGAATACAGGAATATGGAAAACCAAACACAGCATCTTCTCACTCATAAGTGGGAGTTGAATATTGAGAACACATGGCCACAGAGAGGGGAACAACACACACCCGGGCCTGTTGGGAGTTGGGGGTGAGGGGAGAGAACATAGAGGACAGGTCAGTAAGTGCAGCAAACCACCATGGCATGGCACACCTATACCGAAGTAACAAATTTGCACATTCTGCATATGTATCCTGTTTTTTTTTTTTTTTAAAGAATAAAGAAAAAAAAACAGAAAAAAAAAACACTTAACCCCTCTGGGACTTAATGCAGTGTGAAAAAAAGACAAAGGAAAGAAAAAAATTAACTCCTTAATCATATTAAAATCTTATTTTGAGGGTAATTTACATAAGACATAATTATCTCTTTAAAATGTAATATTCATTTTTATTCTTTTATCTGATAACCTTTCTCCCCTCCACAAACGCACAGCCAAAGAAACGAATTGTGTCACTCTGGAATCAGAATAATTTTTTTGTACTTTTTTTTTTTTTTTTTTGAGATGGAGTTTAGCTCTTGTTACCCAGGCTGTAGTGCAATGGCACGATCTCGGCTCACCGCAACCTCCGCCTCCTGGGTTCAAGCAATTTTCCTGCCTCAGCCTCCTGAGTAGCTGGGATTACAGGCACGCGCTACCATGCCCAGCTAATTTTTTGTATTTTTAGTAGAGACGGGGTTTCACCATGTTGACCAGGATGGTCTCGATCTCTCGACCTCGTGATCCACCCGCCTCGGGCCTCCCAAAATGCTGGGATTACAGGCTTGAGCCACCGCGCTCGGCCTTTTTTTTTTTTTTTTTTTTTTTTTTTGAGACAGAGTTTCGCTCTTGTTACCCAGGCTGGAGTGCAATGGCGCCATCGCAGCTCACCACAACCACCACCTCCTGGGTTCAGGCAATTCTCCTGCCTCAGCCTCCTGAGTAACTGGGATTACAGGCATGTGCCACCATGCCCAGCTAATTTTTTGTATTTTTAGTAGAGATGGGGTTTCACCATGTTGACCAGGATGGTCTCGATCTCTTGACCTCGTGATCCACCCGCCTGGGCCTCCCAAAGTGCTGGGATTACAGGCGTGAGACACCGTGCCCGGCCCTGGAATCAAAATAATTTTAAATTCTTCTATGATTAAACAGGAGGGCCAGGACCTGCGCGTCACGTGACTCTGCCGGTGCTCTCTGCTGCAGTTGAAATTGGTCCCGGCCGGCGGAGGCGTGTGCATCACTCTAGAGGGCTCCCACTTTTTGTCTGACCAGAGAGTTGTGAAGCCTCCGCAGTCCTAGAATGGCCGCGCGCAGGGACGCTCTGCTCCGCTGCTCAGCTAGAGCCAGCGAGAGGCTCTGTATCCTCCAGTGTCCTCTCGCCCGTTACTCGGGTAAGGGGTAGTTCGCCGGGGGTCACGGACCAGACAGACCCCAGGTCGGGTCCGGGAACCCCGAGAAGAGAACCCAGACCCACGGCCGCCCCTGGTGGAGGCGGCGCGTCGGAGATTCGGAGGCGTCAGCAGGTTTGGGGAGAAGGAAACGAGTGTTGTGGGGAGCGTGGGTGCGGCGAGGAGGCCACTGCGGAGACCCCCGGCTCTCAAGGGACGCTCCCGTGTCTGTGCGGAGGCTTTCGGGGCCCATGACACCGGCTTTTGAGTATTTTTGGCGATGTCAGGTCTTTAGCAGCGAGAGGAGCAGAGTCCGAAGAATGAATGGCTGCCGAAAGCCAGGGCTTGGTTTCGTTAGAGTGGGAGGTGAGCCGTGCTTGTCAGTGGAAGGTGTTCACGTGATTGTGAAGCGGCATTTTGGATTTTGTCGAAAGTTAATCCCGTTCCAGTTAAAGTTTTAAGAGTTGATTGTGCAGCTGGTGGATTGTTCAATGGCAGTTTAGAAAGCATAATGAGGAAGTGCAGTGATCTTGACTGTAATTGGCCATTATCAACTTGCATTCCTTCTAGGGTAAGTCGAGCCGGATCAGCTTTGTATCTGTAGCTGATTGGTTCAGTTTATCATGCGGACGAGAAAAAAAGCTTCCTTCCTGGTCAGAGCTTACTTTTCAGGGAAATAAGGAATTGTTGTTGTTTTGACACTAAGTGTCACTCCGTTGCCCAAGCTGCAGTGCACTAGAACCATCTCAGCTCACTGTAACTTCCAACTGCCGTGTTCAAGCGATTCTCCTGCCTCAGCCTCCCGAGTAGGTGGGACTACAGGTATATGCCTGACCATGCCTGGCTAATTTTTGTATTTTTAGTAGGGACGGGGTTTCACTGTTGGCCAGGCTGGTCTTGAACTCCTGACCTCGCGACCTCCCATGATCCCCTCACCCCCACCCCCTTCTTCCCTGCCTCAGCCTCCCAATGTGCTGGGATTACAGGTGTGAGCCACCATGCCCTGCCTGTTGTTTTGAGTCGGAGTTTCACTCTTGTTGTCCAGGCTGGAGTGCAATGGCGCAATCTTGGCTCACTGCAACCTCTGCCTCCCGGGTCCAAGGGATTCTACTGCTTCAGCTTCCCAAGTAGCTGGGATTACAGACACATGCCACTACGTAATTTTTGTATTTTTAGTAGAGCTGGGGCTTCACCATATTGGTCAGGCTAGTCTCAAACTCCTGACCTCAGGTGATCCACCCACCTTAGCTTCCCAGAATACTGGGATTATAGGGGTGAGCCACTGCGCCTGGCCTGTTGTTGTTTTAAAGAGAGACAGGGTCTCATTCTGTCACCCAGAGTGGAGTGCAGTGGTGCCATCATAGCTCCCTGCAGCCTCCAAGTCCTGAACTGAAGGGAGAAATCAGTGTATATTAAGTTTGCCTTACATGGCTGTGGGTGGTTGGCCCAAGGCTGTACCTGAAACATGGCCTCCATTTGATTTTTCATTAGCAAGTCTGACATCCAAATACACAGCCTTCACCAACAGATATTCAGTAAGTATAGTGCAGGGGTGTCCAATCTTTTGGCTTCCCTGGGCCACATTGGAAGAATTGTCTTGAGCTACACATAAGATACACCCACTCTAAGGCAGCTAATGATCAAAAAATAAAAATAAAAAGTAAAAAAGGCAAAAAAATTTCATAATCTTTTTTTCTTTTTTCTTTTCTTTTTTTTTTTTTGAGATGGAGTTTTGCTCTTGTTACCCAGGCTGGAGTGCAGTGGCGTGATCTCGGCTCACCGCAACCTCCGCCTCCTGGGTTCAGGCAATTCTCCTGCCTCAGCCTCCTGAGTAGCTGGGATTATAGGCACGCGCCACCATGCCCAGCTAATTTTTTGTATTTTTAGTAGAGACGGGGTTTCACCATGTTGACCAGGTTGGTCTCGATCTCTCAACCTTGTGATCCACCTGCCTCGGCCTCCCAAAGTGCTGGGATTACAGGCTTGAGCCACCGCGCCCGGCCATAATCTTTTTTTCTTTTCTTTCTTTTTTTTTTTTTAAATAAGAGATGGGGTCTCGCTATGCTGGAGTGCAGTGGCTATTCACAGGCGCGATCCCATTACTGATCAGCATGGGAGTTTTGACCTGCTCTGTTTCCAACCTGGGCCGGTTCACCCTTCCTTAGGCAACCTGGTGGTTCCCCGCTCCCGGGAGGTCATAGGGCACTACAGCCCAGAACTCCTGGGCTCAAGCAATCCTCCCACCTAAGCCTCCGGAGTAGCTGGGACTACAGGCACACCCCACCGCGCCCGGCTCATAATGTTTTTGTTTTTGTTTTTGTTTTTTTGAGATGGAGTTTCACTCTTATTACCCAGGCTGGAGTGCAATGTCACGATCTCGGCTCACCGCAATTTCTGCCTCCTGGGTTCAAGCAATTTTTCTGTCTCAGCTTCCCGAGTAACTGGGATTACAGGCACGCGCCACCATGCCCAGCTAATTTTTGTATTTTTAGTAGAGATGGGGTTTCACCATGTTGACCAAGATAGTCTCAATTTCTTGACCTAGTCATCCACCCACCTCGGCCTCCCAACGTGCTGGGATTATAGGCGTCAGCCACCGCGCCTGGCTATAATGTTTTTTAAAAGTTCACAAATTTGTGTTGGGTTGGATTCAGTTGTCCTGGGCCGCATAGGTTGGACAAGTTTGGTGTAGAGAATAAAAGGGATGAGGCTTCTTCCTCAGCCTTGGAACTTTGATCAGGATCTTTTTTTTTTTTTTTTTTCTTTTTTTTTTAAAGACGGGGTTTCACCATGTTGTCAGGCTGGTCTTGAACTCCCGACCTCAGGTGATCCGCCTGCCTTGGCCTCCAAAGTGTTTGGATTACAGGCGTGAGCCACTACGCACAGCCATGATCAGGATCTTTTTTGAAGTGTACCTCTTTGCTTAAAGAGGCAGAGGGGCCGGGCGCGGTGGCTCACACCTGTAATCCCAGCACTTTGGGAGGCCGAGGCGGGTGGATCACGAGGTCAAGAGATCGAGACCATCCTGGTCAACATGGTGAAACCCCGTCTCTACTAAAAAAAAAAAAATACAAAAATTAGCTTGGCATGGTGGCGCGTGCCTGTAACCCCAGCTACTCAGGAGGCTGAGGCAGGAGAATTGTCTGAACCCAGGAGGTGGAGGTTGCGGTGAGCCGAGATCGCACCATTGCACTCCAGCCTGGGTAACAAGAGCGAAACTCCGTCTCAAAAAAAAAAAAAAAAAAAAGAGGCAGAGGGTCCACCCTGGACAACAGCAAAACCCCATTTCCAAAAAAAAAAAAAAATACAAACAGCTGGACATCGTCTACTTAAGAGACTGAGGCAGGAGCATTGCTTGAGCCCAGGAGTTTGAGGCTGCAGTGTGCCATGATTACACCACTGCACTCCAGCCTGGATGACAGAGGGAGACCCCTCAAGAAAAAAAAAAAAAAGGCCAAGAGTCTTCTAAACTGTGTTCAAGGGGCTTCCATTAAAATGAAAGTGAATTTCGGCCGGGCGCGGTGGCTCAAGCCTGTAATCCCAGCACTTTGGGAGGCCGAGGTGGGTGGATCACGAGGTCAAGAGATCGAGACCATCCTGGTCAACATGGTGAAACCCCGTCTCTACTAAAAATACAAAAAATTAGCTGGGTATGGTGGTGCGTGCCTGTAATCCCAGCTACTCAGGAGGCTGAGGCAGGAGAATTGCCTGAACCCAGGAGGCGGAGGTTGCGGTGAGCCGAGATCGCGCCATTGTACTCCAGCCTGGGTAATAAGAGTGAAACTCCGTCTCAAAAAAAAAAAAAAAATGAAAGTGAATTTCATTAAAATTCACACTTAATTAAAAAGCCCAGTAGTGGTGGCTCATGCCTGTAATCTCAGCACTTTGGGAGGCTGAGGCAGGTGGATCACCTGAGGTCAGGAGTTCAAGACCAGACTGGCCAACATGGTGAAACCCTGTCTGTACTGAAAATACAAAAATTAGCTGGGCTTGGCAGCATGCACCCGTAGTCCCAGCTACTTGAGAGGCTGAGACAGTATAATCACTTGAACCCAGGAGGTGAATGCTGCAGTGAGCTGAGATCATACTATTGTACTCCAGCCTGGCGACAACAGCGAAACTCTGTCTCAAAAAAAGGGGCTGGTCACGGTGGCTCACACTTCTAATCCCAGCACTTTGAAGGCTTAGGTGGGGGGATCAGGAGGTCAGAAGATTGAGACCATCCTGGCTAACAGAGTGAAACCCCATCTCTACTAAAAATACAAAAAAATCTGGGCGTGGTGGCATATCCCTGTAGTCCCAGATACTCAGGAGGCTAAGGCAGGAGAATTGCTTGAACTTGGGAGGCAGAGGTTGCAGTGAGCCAAGGTAATGTCATTGCACTCCAGACTGAGCAACAGAGCAAGACTCCATCTCAAAAAATAAAAGCAAGCTAGTCTGTAATTGTTACTTTTGCTGAATCCTGTTAGCAAATCACCAGGCAGGCTAGAGGTGGGGGTTGAGGGACCCCCCCAAAAAAAAAAAATTTAGAGGGGGCTTGTCAGTAAGGGGAGCTGGCCTTAGGAGCATAGTTGGAAATACATAAGTAGATTTAGAGAAAAGCTGGTTAGCTAGAATCCCTAGGTTTACTAGACTTAGGACATCCTGTGTGATAGGGGAGGGGACAGCACCTGAAGTGGGGGAGTAAAGTGAGATCACAAGGTCAGGAGTTCAAGACTAGCCAGGCCAACATAGTGAAACCCCATCTCTACTAAAAATACAAAAATTAGCTAGGCGTGGTCAGGCATGTACCTGTAGTCTTGGCTTTCTCCCATTTGTCCTAAATTAAAGGGAGTGGGGAGCAAAATTTTTAATAAAGCTATTAGATATTGATCAAGTCCTGATTTGGGACCTGTGACTGTAGAGGCTATGGTTTGGCTTTCAGAGCTGGTTGCTGCAGGGAGTGGATCAGAGTGCAGGAGTAGATCGGCCATCTACTCCTCTTTTTGAGACGGAGTCTTGCTCTGTTGCCAAGGCTGGAGTGCATTGGTGCGATCTTGGCTCACTGCAATCTCTGCCTCCTGGGTTCAAATGATTCTCCTGTCTCAGCCTCCTGAGTAGCTGGGATTACAGGCATGCACCACCATGCCCAGCTAAATTTTTGTATTTTTAGTAGAGAAGGGGTTTCACCGTATTAGCCACGATGGTCTCTCTTTCTTGACCTCATGATCCACGCACCTCAGCCTCCCAAAGTCCTGGTATTACTGGCGTAAGCCCCCGTGCCCAGCCCCAGAGTGCTATTTTTATATGTGATCTACCTGCTGTCCCTTTGTACATGAGGTGCTGAAGATGACATGTTCTAGGGAGAAGGGGATGGCAGGGCTGCTGGTTCCCTTGAATAGAGCTTGGGAAATTGATCTAGCCTCAGAAATTCCTGTATTTATTGTAGTGGCTCATGCATTTCATCATATGTTCCAACACCAAACACAGTGACTTTGTATTAAGTTTTGTCTGTGAGCCCCATTAGAATTCCTGGTTCTAGATCTGCCAAGCAGGAGAGCTTCAAATTAGGGATGGCCTTACTGACTCTCTTTTTTTTCTTCTCCAGCTCAGCCTGACGCCTAGGATCCCATCCCTTGTCAAAGACCAGGCCATGGAAGCCATGTTCCCACCAGTCAGTGGGAAGGTGAGCTGTGGCTCCCCATCTGCTTCCTCAGCATAGTCACTGCTGCCAGCAGGTCCTTCCTCAGGTTGAGCCCTGTTGATCAATGTGGGGAGTTTTCCTTCTTAGAAAGGACGATGTAGAGAGCTTAGCCTCTGGAGTCACATGGGCTCCCTTCAGTAAGTTAACATAAATACTCTGGCTCCAGTTTCCTTTTCTATAAAATGGGTCAATGAGAAGGCCTATCACAGTGGGTTGTGAGGACTCAGTGAAAAACGCCTTGTGAAGTCCTTTGCACAGTATCTGGTTACAGTTTAGCAGCAGGTTAAGTTGTCACTGTTAGTCCTGTGGTAGTTGTCCCTTGTTTCTTCCATGAGCATTATCGTGCACCCACTGCTGTACAAACTCCAGGTGCTGTCTTCCATGCTGGGAGATCAACTCTCAATCTGATTAGTGAGACAGATTGTGTAAGGAACTTCTCATAATAAATTCTGAACCATTCCTATGAAAGGGTATAATGGAAGGTTATTTACTGAATTTGTAGCATTATGGAGGGCAATCAGAGGATACTGAGTTGTCTGTCTTTTTTTTGAGACAGAGTCTTACTCTGTCACCCAGGCTGGAATGCAGTGGCATGATCGTGGCTCATGGCAGCCTTAACCTCCCCAGGCTCAGGTGATCCTCCCACCTCAGCTTCCCAAGTAGCTGGGACCACAGGTACATGCCACCATGCCTGGCAAATTTTTGTATTTTTTGTAAAGACAAGATTTCACCATGTTACCCAGGCTGTACTTGAACTCCTGGCTCAAGCCATCTACCAGCCTCAGCCTCCCAAAGTCTTAGGATTATAGGTGTGAGCAATCCCGCCTGGCCTAGTTGGGATTACAGGCATGAGCCACCCCACCTAGCCTAGAAGAGACTTGAGTTTGAAAGAAAGGAGAGAGGCTCTGGGCACAGTGGCTCATGCCTATAATCCTAGCACTTTGGGAGGCCAAGGCAGGCAGATCACCTGACTTCAGGAGTTTGAGACCAGCCTGGCCAACATATGGTGAAACCCCGTCTCTAGTAAAAATACCAAAATTAGCTGAGTGTAGTGGTGCACGCCTGTAGTCCCAGCTACTTGGGAAACTGAGGCAGGAGACTCGCTTGAACCCAGGAGGTGGAGGTTGCAGTGAGCCGAGATCAGGCCATTACACTCCAGCCTGGGCAACAAGATTGAAACTCTGTCTCAAAAACAAACAAACAAATGGAACTTTTAAGCAATATTTGGGGCCCAACTATCAATGTACAAGTACTGGCTGTTGATGGTTTCTTAGAAACTGCAGCTTTAAGGGAAACTGTATATATCAAAACCTTTTTTTTTCCATCACTGTTACAGTGAAACAAAGTTATTCAAGGACTTGCTGCTGTACATACTTTTGCTAAAAAAAATCAGTTTCCAAGAACCTACTGGGGATGTTAAGAGGAGTTACCATACATCAGTCAATCTGGGAGATGAAGCCGTTTTATTCCCATGCTTGTTATGCTTGTTAACCTCGTACAGGTGCAGGAATGCAGGTGGCTGATTAGGTTAGATTGAGGATATTGCAGCGCAGCTCTGGTAAAAGAGTGACATTCTGGATGATGGTGAGAAAGGGCCTGCAACCGTAGCAGTTGAACTCAGGTTTGATAGGCAGGAAAGAAAGTCCATATAATTTGGGAGATTCTGGTGTCTGTCTGCAGAGGGGAGCTATACGAAGCTTCTCAGGATGGGGGTGGGCATTTCCTATTACTGATCACTTATAGGACAGTGAAAGCTTGCCTTGTACATGTCCCCTCTGAACCCTACAGTGTCTTGTGAGAGGAGGGAATGTGTAGACAGCCCCTGGGTCCCTCTGCTCCATAACCTGCAGTGGTGTGGGAGTGAGTATGTGGCAGCTTCAGTGCTCAGCCCATGGGAGGGGGACAGTCACTTGCAGATGTAAAGTCCTCCTGTGCTCACTGTGCTGTGTCCTTTGTTGACCCCTCTGGATATGCTCCCCAGGTGTCTGGAGTTTGGTCTGTACCTTTTATATTCTCCAGCAATGGGCTCCCTTGCTTTGGCACATCTGCTTGGCTTATGGCAATGGGATGAAGAGGCTGCAGGGTTCCGGAGGCCTGGGGGAAATTGAGGCTGGGTTTCTCTTCCCATGGCTCCCTCCCTGCTGTTCTGTGGGATGGGTGTGGCTCCATCCTCTTCGGCCCAGCTCCAGTGTTGCTCCCTTTCCAGAGCATTCTGGGCTCCAGCGGCCCTCCTCACCTTATTTCTTAGACCTAGCAGGCCCTGGTTCCCCAGGGTGGCCAGCACCTATGAGCTTCCACATTCCTTGTTCATGTTTGTTGAGCCTATTCATTCCTTTGTAAATAGTCTGCACATTAACCAACCCCCAGTGACCTCATCTCCTTCCTAAGGAACCTGGGGCAGAAGCAATATGTTATTTGTATAGAGCGCAGGGGTCAGCAAACTGCCCTGGACAGCTTGGTAAAGTTTCCCTGAAACACAACTGTGCCCATTACTTGTAGTCCACGGCTGCTTTTGTGTTCCAACACAAAAGCTGTTCCTCAGATTGTTGATTTGCTGTTCCTCAAATTGACAGCAGGTTTGAGGAACTGGAACAGAGACCAGAGGGCCTGAAAAGCCTAAATTACTTACCATTTGGCCCTTTAGAGATTAAGTCTGTCAGCCCCATGGTATGGAAGCCAGCTTATCTGGCCTGAGGGCCAGAAGGCCTGAACGGAACCCTGAATCTATTACTTACGAATTGGGTGGCCTTGGCCCGCACACTTTACCTCCCCAAACCTCAGTTTCCTCACCTGTAGAATAATCATCGTGCACAAGTTATTGTAAGAATTGCAGTTACCTTTATCAGCTACTTTTCCAGGAGCTGCTCTCGTTTGAGGATGTGGCGATGTACTTCACCAGAGAGGAGTGGGGCCACCTCGACTGGGGTCAGAAGGACCTCTACCGAGATGTCATGCTGGAGAACTACAGGAACATGGTCTTGCTGGGTAGGACATGGCTTGAAGATTGGGCTTATCTGTGTTCTGAGTGTCTGTGCAAGCTCTCAGGCCCTTATCTGTAATTCCAGAATCAGAAAAAGTGCTGAAAACAAAGTTTTTTCATAACTCGTGGCTACAAGCCCTGACTGGACATCACCGCAGTGAAACCTGACTTCATCCCATAGGAAACCATTTATTGTCTTTATTTTTCCAACTTGGTGTGCATATCTATATGCCCAACTTCAGAAATAACAGTGTAAGCTGGGCATGGTGGCTCACGCCTGTAATCCCAGCACTTCAGAAGGCCAAGGTGGGCGGATCACCTGAGGTCAGTAGTTTGAAATTAGCCTGGCCAATATGGTAAAACCCATCACTACTAAAGATATGAAAATTAGTCAGGTGTGGTGGCGCACGCTTGTAGTCCCAGTTACTTGGGAGGCTGAGACAGGAGAATCACTTGAACCTGGGAGGCAGAGGTTGCAGTGAGCTGAGATCACGCCACTGCCCTCCAACCTGGGTGACAGAGTGTGACTCTGTCTCAAAACAAAGCAACAACAACAATAACACTATTTGAAGGCACCACTTCAAACCCTACTGGGGATGATACGTTATGTAAAATACTTATACCAGGTCACCTTTCTGAAATTGGAAAAATTCTGACTCCTGAAACACATCTGGTCCCAAGAGTTTCACATAAGGAATCAGGGACAATGAATAGTTGTCTTGTTTGTGTTAGGGCTCAGACAGAGACACTTAATGCATTCTTCACTCTTACCCTATGTTTCACATCTGTAAGACCTCCAGGAGTTGAGAAGATTATGGTGGATTTACAGTCCAAAGGCTCACTTCTTATCCTCCTGAAAGTCTTTTTCTTTCTTTTCTCTGGAAATCGGTAACTTCTTGGTTTGTAACATTAGTGGGTGCTCAGGAAATGATTTTAAGCCAACTTCATATCTGAACCTTCATGGCTTCCATCTTTTCAAGAGCCTACCCCCTCCTATTCCACTGTAGTCTCCCACTGTGGGAGTTGCCTTGCTAAATAGTTTTCTTTCTGGGGCCACATGTTTGGCCCCTGCACTGACACTCTTAGCACAGGGTCTACCTCTTATGGGATCATCTGCCCACCTCTGGATTTTTATAATTTTAATTTTCCCTCTTTAAAAAAAGCATTACAAGAGCATACATCAGTACATGGAAGGTATAGAAAGGGAGGAAGAGAGGAGTGTGTTCAGGAGTAACACCATTAGTATTTTGGAAGATTTCCTTCCAGCCTTATTTTCCTATGCCTTTATAAAACTAGCTGAGCTATTCTATGTGTAATCCTATAATCTGTTTTAAACTTAACATTATTGTATCAGCATTTTCCCACAGAAACAGTAAACAAGCATAATTCCACTGTGATCCATAATAATATTGCATTGTTTTCTCATTTGGGACATTCAGCTTGGCTTTGTTTTTGTTTGTTGGTTTGCTTGTGTATTTATAATGTTTGAATAGATGTTTGAGTATAAATCTTCATATGAATTTTTGATCATTTCCCAAAGACTTTCCCCAAATCAGAATTTTGAAGTTAAAGGAGATGGCACTTTATTCTTTATTGATTACTGAATGATTCTTCAACAAAATTTGTACTGTTTTGCATATCCAATAGTAACATTTGAGAATGCTTCTTTGCTCTTTCTTTTTTAGAGATGGCATTTCGCTCTTGTTGCCCAGGCTGGAGTGCAATGGGGCCATCTCGGCTCACTATAAACTCCGCCTCCCGGATTCAAACAATTCTCCCATGTCAGCCTCCCGAATAGCTGGGAGTACAGGCATGCGCCACCACGCCCAGCTAATTTTTTTGTATTTTTAGCAGAGACAGGGTTTCTCCATGTTAGTCAGGCTGGTCTCGAACTCCCAACCTCAGGTGATCTGCCCGCCTCAGCCTTCGAAAGTGCTGAGATTACAGGGGTGAGCCTCCGTACCTAGCCAAGTTTCATTCTTGTTGCCCAGGCTGGAGTGCAGTGGTGCCATCTCGGCTCACCACAACCTCCACCTCCTGGGTTCAAGTGATTCTCCTGCTTCAGCCTCCCAAGTAGCTGGGATTACAGGCACTCACCACCACACCCGGCTAATTTTGTATTTTTAGTAGAGACAGGGTTTCTCCATGTTGGTTAGGCTGGTCTTGAACACCTGACCTCAGGTGATCCACCCAACTCGGCCTCCCAAAGTGCTGGGATTGCAGGCGTGAGCCACCGCGCCCGGCCAAGAGTGCTTCTATACTGTATCATTGCACTCTTTTATGCATTTTACTAGTTTTAAAAATAATTTTCATTATAGAAATTCTGGAAAAATACATCAGTAAATAGAGTAGATAATAAAAATCACCTGCAGGCCCACTTTCCGTAAATAACTCCTGTTAACATTTTGGTTTACTTTTTCCCAGTCTGTCTGTGTGTCTATTACAGGACAAGGATCCCTTATCCAAAATGCCTGGGACCAAAAGTGTTTTGGATTCTGGATTTTTTTTTCCTGGATTTTAGAATAGTTGTATGTGTGTAATAAGATAATTTGAGGGTCAGGCCGGGCATGGTGGCTCACGCCTGTAATCCCAGCACTTTGGGAGGCCGAGGTGGGTGGATCACGAGGTCAAGAGATCGAGACCATTCTGGTCAACATGGTGAAACCCCGTCTCTACTAAAAATACAAAAATTAGCTGGGCATGGTGGCGCGTGCCTGTAGTCCCAGCTACTCGGGAGGCTGAGGCAGGAGAACTGCTTGAACCCAGGAGGCGGAGGTTGTGGTGAGCCGAGATCGCGCCATTGCACTCCAGCCTGGGTAACAAGAGCAACTCTGTCTCAAAAAAAAAAAAAAAAAAAAGATAATTTGAGGGTCTAACCCAAGTCTAAACAAGAAATTCACTTACGTTTCATGTACACCTTAGACACATAGCTTGAAGGTCCTTTTATTTTTCCCTGGGGAAGGCTGAGTTAACTATGTGTTGCACACCTGCGTTTTGATTGCAACCAGTCACATGAGGTCAGGTGTGGAATGCTCCACTTGTGTCAGGTTAGTGCTCAAAAATTTTCGGATATGGGATTAGGGATGCTCAAACTCTATTAATTACTTAACACACACATACGTAACGCACACACACATAGCTTTTTAAAACAAAATTTGGATCATGCTATACATGAGTTTTGTATTCTGCTTTAAAATACATAGGCAGTATTTTTCTATTTTAATACATAGTGGGCTGTGCACAGTGGCTCATGCCTGTGATCTCAGCACTTTGTGGGGCCAAGGTGGGTGGATCACCTGAGGTCAGGAGTTTGGGACCAGCCTGGCCAGCATGGTGAAACCCTACCTCTACTAAAAATACAAAAATTAGCCAGGCGGGGTGATGGGCGCCTGTAATCCCAGCTCCTTGGGAGGTTGAGGCTAGAGAATCGTTTGAACCCAAAGGCAGAGGCTGCGGTGAGCCAAGATTGTGCCACTGCACTCCAGCCTGGGTGACAGAGTGAGACTGTCTCAAAAAGAAAACCAAAAAACACCAAAAAAAAAAAAAAAAAAAAAAAAATAGTTGGCCAGGTACAGTGGCTCACACCTGTATACAGTCCCAGCACTTTGGGAGCCTGAGACAGGTGGATCACCTGAGGTCAGAGTTCAAGACCAGCCTGGCCAGCATGGTGAAACCCTATCTCTACTAAAAATACAAAAATCAGCTGGGCGTGGTGGTGTGCACCTGTAGTTCCAGCTACTTGGGAGGCTGAGGCAGGAGAATTGCATGAACCTGGGAGGTGGAGGTTACAGTGAGCCAAGATTGTCACTCCAGCCTGGGTGACAGAGCAAGACTCCATCGCAAAAGTAAATAAATAAATAATTGAATACAAGGATTTTTAATATCTGCCTGATACTTTCGCCTTCATCACAATAATGTGCTACAATTGATTTAACTGTTCCCTGTTGATACTCAGCTTATTTCCAGTTTGACACTGCAGTACCACTGTGCTGAATGTCTCTGGCACATTCATCTTGGTTGCAATTGTACTTTAGGCTGTATTTCTAAGAGTAAAATGACCACAGCCAAAGGTATGAACATTGTTCAGGCTTTCAATAAAGACTGCCAGATATTTACAAAGATTGTGCCAATCTCTATTGTCACCAGCCCTTTTGATTATTGTCCTTATCTCTGTTTGACCCTGAGCCCTGGGTCATGTCTCTGTAACTCACTAACGGCCACATCCCATTTACTTCCCCATGAGTAGGATTTCAGTTCCCCAAACCTGAGGTGATCTGTCAGCTGGAGAACTGGGACGAGCAATGGATCCTGGATCTACCGAGAGCTGGGAGTAGGAAGGCTTCCGGTAGTGCTTGCCCAGGTGGGTGAGGAAGAGACCCAGGCGAGTGGCATCAGGAAGAGGAAGAGAAGTCACGTTAGTCAAGCCCCTTCCAGGTGCCAGATGCTGAGCCAGGTGCTGGGCATATATTATCCCACTTCTTCATCCCTCCTGCCCTGTGAAGTGGGAAGAGATCAGCGTCCCCATTTCCCAGATGAAGAAACTAAAAGATTAAGAAATCTCACACAGGCCTGGTATGGCGGCTCATGCCGGCAATCCCAGCACTTTGGGAGGCAGAGGTAGGAGCATCACTTGAGCCCAGGAATTCAGGATCAGCCTGGGTGACATGATGAAACCCTGTCTCTACAAAAAATACAAATTTAAGCTGGGCGTGGTGGCGCATGCCTGTAGTCCCAGGTACTCTGGAGGCTGAGGTGCAAGGACTGCTTGAGCCTGGGACGCAGAGGTTGCAGTGAGCTGAGATTACACGACTACTCCAGCCTGAGTGACAGCAAGACTCTCAAAAAAAGAAGAAATCTCATACAGTTGGGAGGTGGACAGTGGGCTTTGATTTCAAGTTTGGAACGTTCATTCTCTCCTGCAGGAAAAAGTGCTGCTTTGATGCAGCTGCTCTAGTGTTTATTCTAAAGTGACAACTCTCAGGGCACCTTAGAGGCCCCTTGATTCTACCCTCATTACTTGTCCTTTCTCTGTGCTGCCTCTTGTTCCTTTGCTTTGTTTTGTTTTCATATTTCTTGACATATCTGCATTTTTTTACTTACTGTGTCCTGATGCAGCCACTACTGTTTTTCACATCCAAGGTTTCTCTCCTTGGTACTACTGACATTTTGTGCTGATGAATTATTTGGGGGCGGGATGGGGGCATGTCCTGTGCATTCTAGGATGTTGAGCAGCACCCCTGGCCTGCATCCTCTAGACACCAGTTGAACCTCCCCAGGTGTGACAGCTAGAAATGTCTCCATTGTCCGAGCCCTGCTCACCCCTACTGGAGACCCACTGCTCTAGTCAGTTGGCTTTTGTCCCTGCTTCTCTCTGGTTCCTTTTCTATTCTGTCCTATGCTTTCTCCATTTTTAAGTAGATGCTTCACCTAGAGTTATTAAAAACATGTATCTAGGCCGGGTATGGTGGCTCATGCCTGTAATCCCAGCACTTTTGGGAGGCCGAGACAGGTGGATTGCTTGAGGCCAGGAGTTTAAGACCAGCCTGGCCAACATAGTGAAACCCCATCACTACTAAAAATACAAAAACTAGTGCTCGCTTCGGCAGCACATGTACTAAAACCGTGAATGATACAGAGATTAGCATGGCCCCTGTGCAAGGATGACATGCAAATTCGTGAAGCATTCCGTATTTAAAAAAAAAAAACTAGCTGGGTGTGGTGGTGCACACTTGTAGCACCTGTAGTCCCAGCTACTCCGGAGGCTGAGGTACGAGAATCTCTTAACCTAGGAGGTGGAGATTGCTGTGAGCTGAGATCATGCCACTGCATGCCAGCCTTGGCATGTCTCAAAGTGTGTCTTGAAGCATAACATGCTACCTCTCTTATTTGGCACTACTACCTAGAATAAGTTGTTTTTCTAATAACAGTGATGGGCTCTGCTCTCTCGTTCTCTGGCACTCACATTTCTGTGCACTTTTAGTGAGTTTGTTGGTGCTGAGACCTCTTTTTGTTATGAGAGTGAAGAGTCCAATGAAATTCAGAATTTCAGGCTGGGTATGGTGGCTCACACCTGTAATTCCAGCACTTTGGGAGGCTGAAGAGGATGGATCACCTGAGGTCAGGAGTTCAAGACGAGCATAGTCAACATGGTGAAGCCCTGTCTCTACTAAAAATACAGTAATTAGCTGGGTGTGGTGGCGGGTGCCTGTAATCCCAGCTACTCGGGAGGCTGAGCCAGGGGTATTGCTTGAACCCAGAAAGCAGAAGTTGCAGTGACCAGAGATTCTGCCACTGCCCTCCAGCATAGGCAGCAGAGCCAGACTCCGTCTCCAAAAAAAAAAAGGAAAGAAATTCAGGATTTTGGCTTCTTGAGTCTGACGATGCAAACAAGAGATCACTTCTTAGCTTCATTTGATTGTCCTAGACCCCTAACCATTGGCTTCTCTTTTTTGCTTCTGCGGTGGATAGGTCATTTACATCTTTTCTTGTTATTTGGCTAGGTTCTGAAGCCAGACACAAGATGAAAACGCTAACTCCAAGACAGAAATTTTCTGAAGATTTAGAGTCATATAAGATATCAGTGGTAATGCAGGAATCAGCCAAGAAACTTTCAGAAAAGTTACATAAGTGTAAAGAATTTGTGGACAATTGCAAGCTGAGTTTCCCTACTAGTGGCGATGAATACAGCAGGGGCTTCCTTCAAAACCTTAACCTTATTCAAGATCAGGATGCGCAAACAAGGTGGAAGCAGGGCAGCTATGATGAGGATGGGAAACCCTTCAATCAAAGATCTTTGCTTTTGGGGCACGAGCAAATTCTCACAAGAGCCAAGTCTTATGAATGCAGTGAATGTGGAAAAGTCATTAGGCGTAAGGCATGGTTTGATCAACATCAAAGAATTCACTTTTTAGAGAATCCCTTTGAGTGTAAGGTATGTGGGCAAGCCTTCAGACAGCGGTCAGCTCTTACAGTCCATAAACAGTGTCACCTGCAAAACAAGCCATACAGATGTCATGACTGTGGAAAATGTTTTCGGCAGCTCGCATATCTTGTTGAACATAAGAGGATTCATACCAAAGAAAAACCCTACAAATGTAACGAATGTGAAAAAACATTTAGTCAGAATTCAACCCTTCTTCGACATCAGGTGATCCACAGTGGAGAAAAACCCCATAAATGCCTTGAGTGTGGAAAAGCCTTTGGCCGGCATTCAACCCTACTATGTCATCAACAGATTCACAGCAAACCGAACACCCATAAATGCAGTGAATGTGGACAGTCCTTTGGTCGGAATGTGGATCTCATTCAGCATCAAAGAATCCATACAAAGGAGGAATTCTTTCAATGTGGAGAATGTGGGAAAACGTTCAGTTTTAAGAGGAATCTTTTTCGACATCAAGTCATTCACACCGGAAGCCGACCCTACCCATGTATTATATGTGGAAAATCTTTCAAGTGGCACACAAGCTTTATTAAGCACCAGGGCACTCACAAAGGACACGTATCCACGTGATACTAACTGGAAAGCAGTCATTGAAGGACTAGGACTTAACCTCTACTTCAAGTGTGTGTCACTTGATTTTTTTCATGAAAAGCAATAAATGTAACTAAAAGGGTTTTTCTATGGAGGCCTTCTTTATGTATCCAATCTTCTGTAGTGAAGAAATGCTTAAAAGGAAATTTTAGCCTGTGCAATATAGTGAGATCTCGTCTCTACAAAAAATAAAGTCAGGTGTGGTGGCTCACACCTTCAGTCCCAGCTAGTCATAAGGCTGAGGTGGGAGGATCGCTTTAGCCCAGGAGTTCAAGGTTGCAGTGAGCCATGATGTGTTGTCACTGCACTCCAGCCCCGGTGACAGAGTGAGTCTGTCTCAAAAGAGAAAAGGTTGGTAGGCTGTTGTGTCCACTCTCTTGCACGCTTTGTACCCTCATTCCCTCCAGTCTAGTTAAGGCAGAAGGGAGCCATAGAAGCTTTGCCCTGTGGTTGCCAGGCTGGGGACCATTGCATGGATTGTGAATGACTGAAGGATTGAAGAACAAGCCAGGTGTCATGGCTTACGCCTGTAATCCCAGGAGGCTGGCGGATCACTTTGAGGTCAGGAATTCAAGGCTGGCCTGCCCAACATGGTGAGACCTCATCTCAACTAAAAATACCAAAATTAGCCATGCTGGCGTGCCTGCAGTTCCAGCTATTTGGGAGGCTGAGACAGGAGAATCACTTGAACCTGGGAGGCAGAGGTTGCAGTGAGCCAAGAAAGCACCATTGCATTCCAGCCTGGGCAACAGTATGAGACTCTGTCTCAAAAAAAAAAAAAAAAAAAAAAATTGAAGAATGCCTTTCCTGTATTACACCCAACTATGAACTGCTAATGTATAGACTTAAACAAACAAAAAAAAACCCTAAGGGCTACTCATCAGTAACTAGTGAGGTATGAAGAACAGCTCAAAGCTGCCTATTACCTAAAATGAATGTGTTAGTAGATACTGGTAGACTTTTTTTTTTGAGACAGAGTTTTGCTCTTGTTACCCAGGCTGGAGTGCAATGGCCCGATCTCAGCTCACCGCAACCTCTGCCTCCTGGGTTCAGGCAATTCTCCTGTCTCAGCCTCCTGAGTAGCTGGGATTACAGGCAAGCGCCACCATGCCCAGCAGATTTTTTGTATTTTTAGTAGAGACGGGGTTTCACCATGTGGACCAGGATGGTCTCGATCTCTTGACCTCGTGATCCACCCGCCTCGGCCTCCCAAAGTGCTGGGATTACAGGCTTGAGCCACTGCGCCCAGCCTTCTTTTACTTTTAAAATACAAAAATTAGCTGCGTGTGGTGGTGTGTGCCTGTAGTCTCAACTGCTTGGGAGGCTGTGATGGAAGGACTGCTTAAGCCCAGGAAGTTGAGGCTGCAAGTAAGCCAAGATCACACCATTGTACTCCAGCCTGGGCAACAAAGTGAGACCCTTAAAAAAAAAGAAAAAGATAGGGACGGTGCAGTGGCTCACGCCACTGGGAGGTTGAGGCAGGTGGATCACCTGAGGTCAGGTTTTTGAGACCATACTGATCAACATGGTGAAACCCTGTTTTTACTAAAAATACAAAAATTACCCAGGCGTAGTGGCGGGCGCCTGAAATCCCAGCTACTCAGGAGGCTGAGGCAGGAGAATCTCTTGAACCCGGGAGGCGGAGGTTGCAGTGAACTGAGATCGCACCACTGTACACCAGACAGGCCTGGGCAACAGAGTGAAACAATGTCTCCCCCCTCAAAAAAAAAAAAAAAAAAAAGATAGTTTGTATTTATAATTCTCTCCAATGACCGGTTCAGGCATTCAGGCACTTGTCACTCAGATTAATCCTCATTGTTAAAGAAAGTACAAACAGAAGAGAACTGGGGTTTTTTGTTGTTTTGTTTTGTTTTTGAAATGGAGTTTCGCTCTTGTTGCCCAGGCTTGAGCGCAAATAGTGCCGTCTCAGCTCATCGCAACCTCTGCCTCCTGGGTTCAAGCAATTCTCCTGCCTCAGTCTCCTGAGTAGCTGGGATTACAAGCATGTGCCACCACACCCAGCTAATTTTGTATTTTTAGGAGAGATGGGGTTTTTCCTTGGTGGTCAGGCTGGTCTCAAATTCTGGACCTCAGGTGATCTGCCCGCCTGAGTCTCCCAAAGTGCTGGGATTACAGAGGTGAGCCACTGCGCCAAGTCAAGAACTGTTTCTAATTCACTGGGCCACAGGGACCTGCCAGATCTAGAGAGGCTCAGCCATAGAAAATCAGCAGTGACATTTGAAGCGCAGCCATCCTGACATGGCTCCAAACCCTTAGAGGGAGATGAAGGTCCTGTCCAGGCCAAAGACCCTTCAGTTTCTAGGGAGTTCCTAGAGCAAGAGAAGCCACCGAAGCCACCATTATTATCTCCACCCAGACTAGACCTGGAACTCTGCCCTGTGTCAAGGGCCACTAGTGCTCTGACTGCTGCTTCCTGATGATATTCCTTTAAGCAGAGGCCTCTGTCTATTACACCTGCCCCAGCTCACCTGCATCAGGGAGATAGTGGTCTCCTGGCCGTGATGGTGGGAGGCCCTACTTGAGCTAGGCAATACCCCCTTGCCTTCATTTTCACAGAACCTGGAAAGGACAAGGACACTTGCTCTACTGGAGATGAGGTTTTTTGAGACAGAGTCTTCCTCTTGTTTCCCAGGCTGGAGAGCAGTGGGGTGATCTTAGCTAACCACAACCTCTGCCTTCCAGGTTCAAGTGATTCTCTTGCATCAGCCTCCCAAGTAGCTGGGATTACAGGCATGTGCCACCACACCTGGCTAATTTTGTATTTTTAGTAGAGATGGGGTTTCTCCATGTTGGTCAGGCTGGTCTCGAACTCCCGACCTCAAGTGATCCGCCCGCCTCAGCCTCCCAAAGTGCTGGGATTACAGGTGTGAGCCACCGCACCTGGCTGGAGATGAGTTTTATGTTCTGTTTTATTCATTTCTGCATGAAATACTCAGATTTTTGTATAACTCTTGTGTTATCATGATAAATATATATTTGATCTTCATCCCCAGTGACTAGCAGAGAGCTCCCCAAACCCTTAAGATAATTCCTGAGGGCTAAGGGTGCTAAGAACATCTTTTGTTCTATTATTTGGTCTTTGACACTGGTTCCTGACACACAGCTACTAAATCCACTGGAACTTCCTGAGTGCTGAATGTCTTTATTCTAATAAGGCAACTCTTGGACTCCCGATGGGTTCAGCTTGGGGGGCTGGTCAGTGGAAAGACCAAGACATGATTAGAAACTTGGAACTTCAGGCTGGGCACGGTGGCTCACGCCTGTAATTCCAGCACTTTGGGAGGCCAAGGCAGGCGGATCACCTGAGGTCAGGAGACAAAGACCATCCTGGCCAACATGGTGAAACCCCATCTCTACTAAAATACAAACAATTAGCCAGGCATGGTGGCGTGTGCCTGTAGTCCCAGCTACTCTGGAGGCTGAGCCAGGGGAATTGCTTGAACCCAGGAGGCAGAGGTTGCAGTGAGCCAAGATTGTGCTACTGCACTCCAGCCTGGTGACAGAGCAAGACTGCCCCTCCCCCCCAAAAAAGAAAAGAAACTTGGTATTTCCAGTTTAAGGAGAATCGCTTGAACCCAGGAGGTCGAGGTTGCAGTGAGCCAAGATTGCGCCACTGCACTCCAGCCTGGGCAACAGAGGGAGACTCTGTGTCAAAAAATAAAAATAAAAAAAGCAAGTTATCAAACTGAACTCTTGGGCTCCTAGAATGGAAAGAGGGACTATGCAAAATTAGGTTTTCTGAAAAGTGAAAAATACAGAGTGCTACTGGTGTGTACTGAGCTTTCCCGGGTCTTCTGGAAATTATGTAGTTGAAATCCTCTCTGCCATGTAAGGACAAAGGCAAATTTTAAATGACTAAAATATATTCCTAGGGAAGTATTAATAATTGTAGCGAGCAAGATTTGGTTCAAAAGTAAATAAAGATAGGCTGGGTGTAGTGGCTCACGTCTGTAATTCTAGCCAAGGCAGGAGGATTCCTTGAGCCCAGGAGTTTGAACCCAGCCTAGGCAACACAGCAAGACCCCAATCTCTTAAAAAAAAAAAAAAAAATAGGCCGGGCGCGGTGGCTCAAGCCTGTAATCCCAGCACTTTGGGAGGCTGAGGCGGGTGGATCATGAGGTCGAGAGATCGAGACCATCCTGGTCAACATGGTGAAACCCCGTCTCTACTAAAAATACAAAAAAAATTAGCTGGGCATGGTGGCGCATGCCTGTAATCCCAGCTACTCAGGAGGCTGAGACAGGAGAATTGCCTGAACCCAGGAGGCGGAGGTTGCGGTGAGCCAAGATTGTGCCATTGCACTCCAGCCTGGGTAACAAGAGCGAAACTCCGTCTCAAAAAAAAACAAAAAAACAAAAAAAATAAATACCCAAAGGTAGAAAAACTGCCGATGACAAGGACAGAAGCCTGTTACATGTCAGCCTCACTCTTATCAGAAGTCTCTCACTCAGCACCAGCTCACATTTCAGAAGGCCCCCTACTTCCTCATTCCCTGAAACTATCAGTCTGTAATGAGACTCAAGTCAGACTGAGCCTATCTTGTATGAGACACTTGAGGAAGATCCATAATTGACTGAAATACTCCAAAATGGCAAGGAATGTGGTTCTGGACAAGAAAAGAAACAGGCCAAGTCACACAGAAACATATCAAACTGATAGCACTTTATTTTTTTTGAGATGGAGTCCCACTCTGTTGCCCAGGCTGGAGTGCAGTGGTGTGATCTCGGCTCACTGCAACCTCTGCCTTCTGCATTCAAGTGATTCTCCTGCCTCAGCCTCCTGAGTAGCTGGGATTACAGAAGCGCACCACCATGACCACCTAATTTTTGTATTTTCAGTAGAGACAGGGTTTTACCATGTTGGCCAGGCTGGTTTTGAACTCTTCATCTCAAATGATCCACCTGCCTTGGCCTCTCAAAGTGCTGAGATTATAGGCGTGAGCCACCACAACTGGCCAACAGCACTTTATCTTGATGAATTCTTTGGTGTCGGATAAGGTGTGTACTCTGTCTAAATCTTTCCCCACATTCAAGACATTTGTAAGGCTTTTCTCCAGTGTGAATTCTCTG